GTCTTCACATGTTTGGGGTAGACATGTCTCCCAACACCCCAGATACCCTATAGAATTTGTCTAAGAGTAATTATGTGTGGTGCAAGTGGTACAGATGGACTAGGACCTGAATACGAGGAGGTATACAAGCAAGATTGCTTTCAGGAAATTACAAATTTCTTTGCTGACTCTTTGCCAGCTTCCCCACAATCGGGGAAGCCAGAGTGCTTTGCTTGTACCCTTGTGATATTGAGGGGAAGCAACTTTCTTTTAATTGTCTTCTGAATGCCTTCCTGGGGACTGGGGGTCTCCGGTGGTGGTGGTGGTAGGGATTCCTATGCTGTATCAATGGCAAAGACATCATGTGCTCATCTAGACGAGCCAGGCCTGGTTCCCAAAGCCGTAGCTGCCTTTTCTATTACATGTTTCTTTCCCTGAGCACAGGTGACAGAGCCATGATCCTGAGATGGACACTTCCAGCTTTGGTTGGACCTTATGGACTTAAGAGGTCTGGAGTCATTGACAGGTCCAAGTGGCTGGCAGCAGGAGGCTCTCCATGCAGCTACCATAACGTTCTATGGAGGATAAGATAGCTCAGCAACAGGAGAGTGAGCTCATTCACACTATGGCTTACCAAAAGATATGCAACGTGAGGGAATTCTTTGGACAACTTGGAGACTTTAGATTCTCTGAGCAAGGAAGAAGGCAGGGAAAGGAATAAAACATTTACATGGTATTTACTATGTACCAGGCACTGTGCTAAGCACCTGAAAAAATATTCTCTCATCTGATCTTTATAACAATACCGTGGGCTGCTATTATTACGGTCCCCAGTTAAGGGTAGAGGAAACTGAAGGCAAGCTGTCCGCGAGAAGGAAGCAGTCCTTATTTACTGAGCATCGACCACGCCCACCTTCAAAAAGGAACCTACGCTTTGGGGGTAGGTGGGCTGGACGTGCACGGAGGCTGGGATTCTTTGGTTGGGGAGAAAGGGAGAAGAGATTACTATTGTAGAAATAAGAAAACTCGGAATTCCGAGGGGATCCAGCGGCAGGAGGCTCCAGGTGGTCTAGGGCCGAAGCGAGCTTTCCCGATTACTTTATGCAGCCTGGAGGCCCAGCGAATCCCAGGGCGGCCGGGCCAGATTTTCTAGTTCGCGGAGCCCCGAGGGGCTGGGCTTCCTGGCTCTCCACCTACTCCTCCTCCTTCCTCCTCCTCTCCTTTGTCTGCAGGCAGGTCTTCCTCTTGCAGTACACCTCCTCCCTTCCCTCTTCTTCCTCTCCCTTGCCTGCTAGGAAGTCTTCCCCTTGAAGCGTCCTCCTCCTTCTTCCTTCTCCCTCCTCTTCCTCTCCATTGGTTGCTAGCAGCCGTCCTCCCCTTCTTCCCCACTCCTCTTTCTTCTCCCTTTCTTCCCCTCGCGCCCTTCCTGGTTCGACGTGGGGAGGAGCCCGGGGAGAGGGACCACGTGTGCCCCTGGAGCAGCTCTTGGAGGAGAGAGCTGAGATGTCTCTGCTACCGGGAGACAGAGAGTAGGATTCTTTGGAGCTTAAGGATTAGACTTCAGCGCCAGGGTTGGGAGAGATAAAATGGGATCTTTAGACCCGGGGTTACCTAGCCTACCGCCCCTGGGCTCTCTTCTTTTTTGACAGCTGTCGTTTAGTTTGGGGACCGTTTGCAGTGAGTGTTGAAAGTTTCACGTGTTTGCGATGCTTTGGTAAGTACATGTCCGGGAGCTTCCCTGGACTTTAAGTTAAAGCAATCTGTGCAAAGATTTTTAGCAGACATTTCACTTAAAATATCTGTTAGTGCTCAACAGAAATTTCTTTTCACTGAGCAGCGTTTCTGGTTGGATTTTTACAAAATTAGCCTATGTAAAAGCAATTTAACATAAATGCCTGACGTTGTTCAGTCGTTTCTAGTAGTGTCCCCATTTGGGCATTTCTTAGCAGAGATACTGGAGTGGTTTGCTGTTTCCTTCTCCAGCCCATTTTACAGATGAGAAAACAGAGACAAACAGGGTTAAGTGACTTGCCCAGGATCGCACAGCTAGTAAGTGGCTGGGGTCAGATTTGAACTCACGAGTATGGGTTTTTCAGACTCGAGATGTGGCATGCTTTCCACTGAGCCATAATCACACCTCTGTTCATTCATTCTGCAAATATTTATTTAGGTGATTTCATAGTAGCCTGGAGAGGGCTATAAGCCAGGGGACAGTGTAAATCCCATTGACAGTAACTAGTGATGAGATCTTGGGAAAGCCACTTAACCCACTTCGATGCTCAGCATCCCTATTTATATTAGCAGTTTAGGAAGCTCTCTTCTGATGTGTCTGTTTCTTCAAACTTCTAGTAACAAAGTAAAAAAAAAAAAGTCAGCCCCTTAAAGGGCAAAGTGTTGCAGAGACTGTATACATGTTTGTTTTATCTGACGAACTTCTTATCTTTCCCACCCTCCTTGCCCTTCTGCAAAGGCTGTTTTAATTCTGTGAGGTTTCAGGATCTCAGCAAACACCACCGACTGTTCTACTGAGGCAGCTAGGCCCAGTGGAAAGAAGAGTTCAAATTCAACCTCAGACACTTACTAGCAGTGTGCCCTTGTTCAAGTCACTTAGCCTCAGTTTGCCTCCCTTTCTTCAACTGTAAAATGGGAATAATAACACCTACCTCCCAGAGTTGATGTGAGGATAAAAGGAGATAATATACTGGCACATAGCAGGTGCTATATAAATACTCCTCCTCCTCCTACTACTACTACAAAGTAATATTTAAAGAAAAAAAATAATTATGAATTTAACTTTAAAAAATAGATATGCCGATAAAAAATTCCCTGCATTCCTTTAAAAGGTGCTTTCAATGTGGAAAATTATAGGAATTGGAAAATAATTTTCTCTTGAAAGTGGAATTCTCTCTCTTCTCTGATAGAATGTTTAATTTTTAGTAAAGATGAAATGTCAGGCAGCCAAGCATGAGTTCAAAAAGACATAGTGTTTCATATCTAAATTTAGTAAAACCTCACCCATATTATATAGTTCTTTTATTTTTAAAATTTATATGTAGTTTTTAAAAATTCAGTTTTATTTTCAGTTCTGAATTCTTTTCCTGCCTCCTCCACTGGCTCACCTATTTAGAAGGCAAGAAAAACTAACCCTTGCAAATGTGTATAGTCAAGCAAAACAAATTCTTGCATTAGCCATGTCCAAAAAAGAAAAAAATGCTTAAATCTACCTTCTGAGTACAACAGCTCTCTAACTGGAGGTGGATATATTGCATATCTCATCATGAATCCTTTGGAATTGTGCTTTGTTATTGTGTTGACCAGAGTTCCTAAGTCTTTCAGAGTTGTTTATCTTTACAGTATTGTTATTGTATAAATCATTCTCCTGGTTCTTTCTCACTTCACTTTTCACCAGTTGATACAAAGCTTGCTAGGTTCTCATGAAATCATCACCTTCATCCTTTCTTACAGTACAATAGCATTTCGTTATATACATATATATATATATATATATGCCATAACTTACTTAGCCATTCCCCAAACCTCCTCGGTTTCCAATTCTTTGCTGCCATCTAAAGAACTGCTATAAATATTTTTATATGTATGGATCCCTTTTCTCTTTCTTTACTCCCTTCAGGGGTATAGAACTAGTTGTATGATATATATTGATATACATATATATGATATATATATATCATATATATATCATATATATATAGTTGTGATATAACTATATATATAGTTATATCATAAAATTATGTAAAACCTCTACAGAGCAAACATCATTTGGGCAGCTAGGTGGTGCAGTAGATAGTACTGGACCTTTCTTGCCAAGCCCTTTTCAGGTCTGCTTATCCAGCTTTGGTGTCCACCTGGCAGTCAGTTCTCACCTGTGGTTCAGAGAAGCTATAGCATTCACAGCAGCCATACCCCAATAAACTGGCTTAGCAGATGTGCCAAACCAGGTTGAGGGCCGCAGATCTGTAGGTGAGTTAGGGGGATGTCTACCCCAACCACGTGAAGTCTTTCCCCAGAGGAATGGGCAGATGAGGACAATTTGTTCCAGTGGCCCAGAAGCAGACACTTTGGAGGGCTTCAGGCTTGGTCAGACATCTAAGATACCAAAATCGTCCGCTCCATTTTGCATCTTGACTTTAATCCTGCTACTGGACTTCAGTGACCCTGGAAGAGAGAGTGAGGCTGATAACTTTGTGCAACTCTGCCTCACTTATATCCAATTCACACACAGAAATCAAGATATTACCCTGTGATGTCATCGGTCCTCTTCCAAAATGAAGGACAAGCAACAACAATGACTGGGCCTGTAGTCAGGAGGACCTGAATTCCAATTTTGCCTCACTCACTTACTAGCTATGTGATCCTATTCAAGTTCCTTATCTGTGAAATGAGGATAGCAATAGCAGTGTGAAGATCAAATGAAATATTCATTTAAAATCACTTAGCACAGTGTTTGGTGCCCAGTAGGTGCTATTAAAATGGTAGCTATTATTGTGATGTGTCTCATAGCAAAGCCAAAACTTTTACATAGAGTCCCTTTAAAATGCCACATCATGGAGTTTGTTTTCTATACTGGAGTCAGTAGGGAGCCACCATTGCTATTGCCATGTGGAGGATGGATTGGAGAGGGTAAGTTAGGAGGAGAGGGTCCGATTCAGGGTAGAAGATAATGATTTCTCTTTCAGACATGTTGAATTTGAGATGATATTCTAGAGGAAGCCTCAACTAGGCCTGTTTGGTGTTTTAGTCTTGGTATTGGAATGAAATCAGGCATTTATAGACCATCTAGTAGTTAACAAAAGAAGGTTCACTTGACAATAACATGGAGAAGATGTTAACAAAGATGCAGCATTGATTTAATTAGGTGCAACATAGAAGTTTTATCGTATAGCTTTAAGTACTGTCAACAGGATTCCCTTTTCAGTACAAAGGTGTTTTATACCATATGATGGGAAAATAAACACTTCTTTTCCTAGATGAGGCAGCTATGTGGAAATGATATCCACACCATGAAGAAGAAAGGAAGAGGAAGAGCAAGCAGACAGAGAAGAAGAAAATCATTTAGAACCTCAGAGTTGAGTAAAGGTATAATTTTTATTTTCAATGATATAAATGAAGTGTTTGACTAATGTCTAATAAAACAGACTCTGTATGAATACAAAAGCCATTTATGGAAAATGTTTGAGCACATCTTGGGAGAATCCTTTTCTTTTTCTGATAGCTTTTATGTTATTTGAAAGAGTGTGGGATACTGATATGCCCCTGTCCTGAGTACATATTCTGTTGAGGGATACATATACACACATAAGTAAAATAAAGTAATTTAGTTTGGGAAAGTGGGAGCACTAACAATGGGGATAGCAGGAAAGATTTATGTAGAGGGGGTACCTATGCTGAGCTTTGAAAGAAGCTAGGGATTTTAAGAGGTAGATTTGAAGAAAGAGAAAGTACCCGGCATGGGGGAAGACCTGTGCAAAGGCCCACAGGTACAAAAGAGTATGCCATGTCCTGGGGACAGCAAAAAGGTCCATTTGGCTATAATGTAGAGTATATGAGGGGGAATAATGTGAAAGGTCTGGAGCAAAGGGCTTTAAATGCCAAATTAAGGAGTTTGTTTTTTATCCTGTAGACAGAAGGGAGCTGCCAAGTGCTGTGTGGAGATTAGAAGTTGGAGAGGGGAGGGCAAAAGATAATGCATTCTCTCTTGGACATGGTGAGTGTGAGATGCTGGTCTGGACCAAGGCTGATTCAGGCTTGTTTGGTTGTTTAGATTTGGTATTAGAATGAGAGGAGGCACTTGTAGACCATCTAACAGTTGACAAAACAAGGTTTGTTTGACAGTAGCATAGAGAGAATACTAGTAAGGATGCTGTATTGATTTAAGTAGATGCTGCTTCTCTGCCTGTGTACATGCTGTAGTGGTAAGCTGTTGAGAAATATGTGTCAATCCTAAAAAGCTTGCCTACAAAGTTTTTGTACTTAGGTGCTGGGGACCAATTAAGTCTTGATGATAGTTTCATTCATTACCTTTTATCCCCTTTTTACCCCAATATAGTGATGCCGTTTTGGTCCTCTTTGAGAATACAGGACAACAATCGACCAAGACTAGCCTTTAAGGGATTGAATTTTTTCCAACAACATCTTACCTCTTAGTGTACATTCAGCTTTGGATTGGTGTGACCCAGCGGCTTCACTAGGTCATCGTGGAGTAAAGTTTTTATAGATTTCTTAAAGGTCATGGCAACGCTTGGTTGGTCAAGAAAACCCCAAATGAGGTCATGAAAAAAAAAGTTTGAGAGACAGTTTCTGGGTAATTAATCATTTTATTACTAATGCTAGCATTTTATTAATAAAAGGCACATTGACACTCTTGAATGCCAAAGACTCCTCATGAAACCTGCTCAATGCTTATATGCCCTGAGGTGGCAGTCAACTGTAATTGGTAAACAATTAATGAGAAAAAGAAAGGAAATATGCCTCCAAATTGGACCAAGATGTAGTGTAGAAATATAATTTACAGATGAAAGGTCAAGAGCTATTCTAACTATATAGTAAGAACATTTTTCTTTTCTTTCTTCTGGAGAAATCCTATTTGCCTAATCCTCAAACTGTTAGGGTGGTACATTCCTTTGGGACTAATTCAAAGATGATCTCAAAGTTAGTCATATATTTGATTAACTGGTTCAGTATTCTCTTATGTCAGTTTTTTCTCCTTTGTGTATAGTTTTAAAAAACTGAAATATGATCAGGTAACATGGGGGCAGACCACTAAAATCAAGAGAAACATTGAAATTCAATTCTATTACTTCAGTAACTACTTGCTACAAAAAATTGTGGAGGCCATATTGTCCCACTGATCTGTTCAGACACTTTTCCTCGATGAGAATAATGTATAGTACACAGGCACGAAGAGTATAAGTTGAATTACCAATGATATTCATATGTTTGCTCTTTCTGCCTTGTTCCTCAGTCTGGTTAAGTACCAACTTCTATACTGGTGAATGATGGTATTTGGTTGTGGGAAAGAGTCATAGTCAATTTGACAATTTATTGATCATAAAATAACAATAAATCTTTAGCCTTCACCAAAAAAAAAACCCAAACCAGTTAATGAGAAAATGAATGTGTGTGTGTGTGTGTGTGTGTGTGTGAGAGAGAGAGAGAGAGAGAGACAGAGAGACAGAGAGAGAGAGAGAGAGAGAGAGAGAGAGAGAGAGAGAGAGAGAGAGAGAGAAAGAGAGAGAGAGAGAGAGAGAGAGAGAGAGAGAGAGAGAGAGAGAGAGAGAGAGAGAGAGAGAGAGGTGGGCTCATTCTAATGGCAGTCTTAAGGATATATGACTTGGATCACCCAAGTCTAGTTCAAAAAGATTTATTAACATACATATCAAAGACGGAAACCACTTCCACCCCAGTCCTGTCTGACCAAACACAATGAACAGGAATTCACCAGTTCTCTCAGCCTGGTTGGGGACTTGGGGACAGGCAACTTATTTCCCAGATTTCCTATATTAGTTGATTTCTAGATAAGGAAGTGGAAAACCCTTTAATCCTAATTCAGTAATTGGTTATTAATATAAGAAAGTAATGCTCATTTCTCTCACAGAGAGTCAGATACAACTGAACAACAACAAATGGTGTTGATTTACCCAATTGGTGAAAGTTAATGTCAGGTTTGTGGAAGACAACCAGAACCAGTGAACTTCGTGAAATCTAGGCACTAGGCCCCAACCAATCAAGGATAAAAAAAGTGGGATTGCCCCAGTTGGTTAAATTGAATATTTAAATGTAAGAAGCACATGAAGAACGAAAAGTTTGTGATACAGGTTATTTTGCAAACTTGTTTTTATACATCCCCACACAACTACTCCCTTTCTCCTCGCTTCTCAACGCTACCCCATTGCTCCTTGATACACAAACTCACCTCTAGTCAAGCTGCCATATTTGTTTGTCATCTTTTGTGTTTTCTTCATTTACACTTATGTCTCAGTCATGCTATTTCCCACAACTTAGAATATCTTCCCTTTTTTTCCCACTACTTATAAAAAATTTTTCATCTTTCAGAGCTAAGTTTAAGTTTTTTTGTTTGGATTTCTGAGCTCATTTATATAGAGAATTCCCAGTGAAGAAGTTCCTTTGTTCAATGCAGATAGACTTTATAGTCGTAGAGAATTTCTTGAGGGCACTAAGGGTGACTATTTTAAGTAATTTACTCAGGATCGGCAGCCATTTTATATCAGACGGAAAATTGGACCTAGTCTTCTTGACTGTGAGGCTGGTCTTCCATCTACTATGCAGTGCTTCCACAGTGGTGAAACTAGACATTTGAGTTCTTTTTATAGCCTTAAATATATGGATTTTATTGGGGGGGGGAGGGAAGCATATTTACTTTGATCTCTTCCTTCTCTGAGTTTTTACAGTTTTTATTACTTATCATTTAACTGTTCTGTAATTGTTTTATAAATTAGCCTTATTTCCTCCATCTAGATTGTGCACTTGTTGAGAGTGAGGAGTATGTTTTATATATTTTTTATATTCCTCATACCTTTCCTGAACATCACTCTAGGCCTTTTGTAAAAAGTTGGATCATTTGATTACATAGTAATTTTTGTTACTTTTCTCCTGTCTTTTTTAGTGAGTGAGAGCCACAAGTCAGAATTCATAGAACTTAGGAAGTGGCTGAAAGAAAGGAAATTTGAAGATCATAACCTAAGGCCAACAAGATTTTCAGGTAAGATTTTGTAGTAAATCTAGAATTCTATTTCACGTTGGGAGAGAGGGAATGACATGAGTTATCAACACCACTAATGATTTATCTAACTGAGTAGTCAAATCAACAAACGTTTATTAAGTGCTTATTACATGCTAGACACTGTGCTAAGCACTGGGAACAGAAGAACCAGCAGGAAGACACACAGTCTCTGTCCTCAAGAAGCTTACATTGTAATGAGGGAAGACACACATAAAAGGCAGCTGGAAAGTGGAGGAGGAGAGCAGGGATGAGTGAAGGTGTCCAGTGAGAGGCATGGTAAAGTCCTTTGGAAATAAGTCAACAGTGCAGCCTGGGGAGAAATGAAGAGTTGGTTGACCTGGGGCTCCTCCTTAAAATGGAGGTTCTAGGAGGAACCAGCCAACCAGAGGAAGGCACCTTAGGGGTGGGAGGGTACTTCCAATGTGAGTAGTCCAGGGGTGGCATGAGAAAAGTTGGGTGGAGAAGAATTGAGATGCTGACCTTTCAGTCTGTCTTATACACTATTACTGTGCATCTGCTGTGTGCCAGGGATTGGGGCTATGAACACAAAAGTGAGATTGTGCCTTCCTTCCAAGAGCTTACAATTATGCTTAAAGGATACAACACATTCACAGAAAGTAGGTATGGCATGATTATAAAATCAATATATAGTAATTTGGGGAAAGGGAGGCATTTAAAACTAGGGAAACTGGAAAAGGCTTTTTTTATTCTGAACTTAAGAAATAAAATAAACATTTCCATAACATAGTAGAATAGATAAGTGAGCCTTAGGGTTCCAAGAAATGAGGTGAAGAGGGTGAACGTTCCAGGCATGGTGGGAGCGGGACAGCTTCTGCAAAGACTTGCATCTGGTTGATGGAGTGTCCTGGGACTGGGAACATCAGGGAGGTCAGTTTGGTTGGAAGCTTAGAGTTCAGGAGGGAGAGTTATGTGTCATCAGCCTAGGAAGATAGGTTGACGATAAAGTGTGAAGGGCTTTAAAGGCTAAACAGAGGAGTCTATATTATATTCTAAATATACTGGAGCTGCTTGAGACAAAAAGTGACACGTTTAGGAACATTATTCTGGCAGCTGTGTGGGCGATGGTTTAGAGAGGGAAGAGGTGGAAGCAGGGAGACTAGGAGGCTACTGAAATTGTCCAGGAGAATGATGATAGGGACCTGAACTGGGGTGGTTGGTTGATATGTAGGTGGGGATAACTGGTTGCATGTGAGAGATATAGAGGAAGAAACAGTGACAAGATTTGGCAACTGACCATAGATGGAGCTGAGAGAGAATAGTAATAGCTAATATTTATATGGAACCTACTATGTTCCAGGTAATATGCTAATCACTTTCCAAATAAAATTTCATTTTCTCTTCACAATACTGCTAGGAAGTAGGTGCTGCTGTTATCCCCATTTTACAGTTGAGGAAACTGAAACAGAAGTTAAGTGACCTAACCAAAGTCACATGGCTAGTAAATATCTGAGGCTAGATTTGAGCTCAGTTCTCCCTGACTCCAAGCCCAGTGCTTTTTCTGCTGCACTACCTAGCTGCTTAGAAAGAAGAATCAAGGGTGACTTCTAGGTTGAGAACCTGGGTAACTAGAAGAATTATGGAACCCTTGATAGAAAGAGGGAAGTTGGGAAGAGGGTAGGTTTAGGGGGAAAGATTATGAGTTATCTTTTGGACATGTAGAGCTTGAAATGCCTATGGAAGATCTAGGTAGTGATGGAGATGCAGGACAGAAGCACAGGAAAGAGATGAGGGCTAGTTATATAGACTTGGGAATCATGTTAAAGGGACAATAGTTAAATCTATGGAAGCTGATTCTAAGACATGGAGAGACAGATGAGAAGTCCAAGAACTGTGGCCTAGGTTATGCTCATGCTTAGGGTACCTGAGGCTCTTCTTTTGGGAACTGGCTTGAAGGTGGTAGTGGCATACTAGATGGCAAGATAGGCCCTGCAGCTGGTCAGGGATTGGATGGGATGAAATGAAGCTTTATTCTGTTGCTTGGGTGTTTATAGATTCTCTATAACTTCAGTTAGTTTTCTTGGGAGTGGAGCCAATGCCATCCTCTTTATCATGAATCATAGTTGAGTGTTGTGGTAGGAGCTCTGTCCTAAGTTCCCTGTGTAAGTATTCTCCCTCTTCCCCCTCCCTCCATGCGCTGCAAATTAGACTAGTTTTTCTTTAAAAGGTATTAAAACTGTGTCATTGAGATCTAATTGTCAGAAGAATTAGGATGGGGCCATTGACATAGCTTCCTGGTCAGTTGGATACAAACAGTCTTAAGAGGGGATGGAGCTCTTCCTTCTCTGAGACTTCAGACCTTAGACCATAATCATTACAACCCTAGGAAACTGCTTAGCTGGATCAATGCTTTGTCCTGGATGAACATCTCTTTTCTGCTCTGAATGTCCTTGTTGTGCTATGGCTAAATAAAAGCTCCTTTTGTTAACTGTTAGATGGATTTTGTATGCATTTCATTGTTATTTCAGACCCAAACTACCCAGAGACCAGCCTGAGTGGGGCCTAGCTCATTATGCCCATCAATTTTAAATGCACAAAGGCTAGGGATTCTTTGGATTTATACAGATGTTTGTTACTCTTCAAATCTTGTCTGCTTCAGCAAATAGCGTGAACTCAAAGAAACTGAAGTGAGCCTGGTTTCACAAAGAATAAGTCATGCTTGTTATACCTTATACCCTTTTTTTCCTGAAGGATGCTGGAGAAAATGAATCTATTGATTTAAGGGAAAACATGTAACAAAGTCTGATGTGGACAAAATCAAAATATTGTGGGCTGCATAATAATTCACTTAGGTATAATTATGGCTGTTTGAGTCTGAAGAGTATCTGCACAGTTGTAACCGTAGAGAAAGATGTCCAGTGGCATGCCTCATATCTTTGTACTTAGCCCTGTTTAGTCAATATTTTTTTTTTATCAAGGGCTTGCTTATATAAGGCATGATATCAGAAACTCCAAAGAATATTTTTCATGGAGTCTAGAATTTAGAGCTGGAAGGGTAGTATAAAGGATGCTATGGAGAAATGTATGAGCAGAAAAAAGGATGGTCCAGTTATGTAGTGAGAGCCACTGTGTTGACACATGTTGAGCTTGAAATGCTTATGGAAGATCTAAGTAGTGATGGAGATCCAGGATAGAAGCTGTGTCTTCCAAAGAATGAGAGGAAGTTGCCCAGCATTTTTGGTGGCTCCTCTGGAGCTCATTAATTGGAGGAATAAGTGTTGTAAAGTTTGGGTTGTAGACATAGATTGGTAGCAATCCACTTTGTTGGATGGGATATCTATATTGAGGAGATTGTAGAACCGTTAACGTATAGGAGTACAGTAGAGAATGCTGGTTAGTGTTTTTCCATTCTAAAATATTACATTGTAAAAATGTAATTGAAAAAATTTAAAAATTCATTCACTCATGGGTATTCCAGCATGAGAAAAGCAACATGGTATAGTCCAGTGGTGTCAGATACAAATAGAAACTAATTCCTGAGGACCATATTGACTTAGAAAACTACAGATTTATCTATTTTATATTGTATTTTTATTTATTTTGTTAAACATTTCTTAATTACATTTTAATTTGGTTTGGACCCACTTGGTGCTGGCCCAAAGTTTGACCAAGGATTTTGGGGTCTGCCCCAATCACCCTTCAGCCTGTTTTTTGTCTCATTCTCATATTTAATCTTATTGTCTTAAACTCTGTGGTAGTATCCAGGGTCATGTTTGAATATTTTCTCATGAATTAATAAAATTAAGCAGATATTATTGATTTAGTGAACTGGAGAAATCTTTCCCAATACTAGCTACATCTCTATATAATAAATCCTTTAACTTCTTAAGGTTAAATAAATAGTAAATTGCATACTCAGTAATTTTAATAATAATGAAATCAATAACCAACAACAAATACTTTAATCACCGAGGGTTAAATAAGTAATACATTACATACACAGTAATTTTAATGGCGATAATTCAATAACCAAGATAGATAACTATTTACAATAACATAAGAAGGCCCTCAAACTCTCACAGTCCATAAATGTTTTACTTCACTTCTGGGGACAAAGTGCCACTCCATTTATTTCATTTGGGATAACAAATAACTATCTATAGTAACACTATTCATTCTCTTTATAAGATAAAGGTTAAAAAAAGTTCCATCAATAATGAAGCCCTTTCCATCCTCTTTCTCTCTGTCTTCTCTGCTTTCTCTCTAGCCATGATAGTAAAGCAATCTCTCTTCAGTTTTTCTCAGTCCATTACTCTTACTAGTCTTACTCCAGACTCACTCCACATAAATTCTCTTTATAATGTTTCTTCATCAAATAATAGGTGACAGGTTACAAGAAAAAAGTTTCTCATCACCTTCTTTCTGTCTTCTTCACAGTTTATCTCATAGATCAGGGACAAAACCAAACATTCTCTACCTGACGCCATCAATACAGGTACCTCAGAATGACAACGAGAACTCAACTTGTCAACAACTCCTATCTTGTCTCTATTTCTAAAGAGATAATAACAGTTTTTATGTCGGCTGTAGGAGAGGCTTTTGAAACAAGTGTTACACATAGTAAATTGGTTTTTGGAGTCAGGGGCCTCTGGATTCAAGCCTGGTCTTTGATAAACTGAAAACATGAACAAGTTACTTAACTTCTCATGCTCCTCCTGGCAACTCTGAGGCTATGATTTATAAATAACATTCACAGGTCTTCTCTGCTGCTGTCTCCATGTACAGAACTGTCTTCCCCCTCGTCTCTGTCTCCTAGCTTCCTTTACCTCCTTCAAGGTTCATCTTAAGTCTTCTTTTTGGCAAGAAGCCTTTCTCAGTACTTAATCTTAGTGACCTGGAGACCCTTTGAGACTGTCTCAAGTTTGTCGTACACACACACACACACGTGTTTATATTTATCTTGTTTTTGTTGTTTCCTCCATGAGACTGAGCTCCTTGAGGTCAGGGACTGTTTTTTCCCCTTTGTATCTTTAGTGTTTAGCATGGTTCCTGGCACATAGTAGGCACTTAACTGCTGGTTGACTTACACAAAAGGAAGTACACTTCCTGGACATCTCCTCCTTTTCAAGAGAAGCTATTGTTTTACCACCCCCTTCCTTCTTTGCCCCTTCTCCATGACTTCTGCCTCTGTCATACCACTATTTCTGGAAAATTCCAGTCAGGCTTAACTTTACTTTCTACTCTCCTTGGTTCTCTTTCCCCCTCTCTGACTACTTCTTCTCTGTCTCCTTTGCTTGACATGAGTAGTTAAATTAGAGAGAACCAGAAGAGAGCAGTGTCACAACCTGAAGAGAAGGGTATCAAGAAGAGGATTTGTTAGGTGCTGAGCCCTGTACAGAATTAGATAAGGCATGGTTCCTGTCTTTTATGAGCTTAAAAAGGTCTAATAAGCTTTTAAAATAATATTTTGTGTATCATTTTTAGCTTTTAGCATTTCATTTTTAGCTTTTAGAATGGTAGTACTGCACCTTGTGGCAATAAAAGAAGGTAATGTAATTAGCTCCTTTTAAAAAAATGTTTTTTTAAAGTATTTAAAATAATAAATTTCAAATATTAAATTTTGAAAAACATATCCTTCTTGTTTTAGGTACAGGAAGAGGACTGATGGCTGTAAAATCCTTGCAGGTTGGTAGTGGCTTTCTCCAGCCTTGAATTTTTTTGGGAGGGAGGGGGTAGAAGAAACAACTAGTTATAGATTTTACTCTTCTGTTTTACAGTTTAAATCAAATTATTTCCCTGTATTTTTTAGTTAATTTGTTTACAGTTATACTTAATGTTTATATGATGAAGAAGAAAGGTCAGTAGGAGTCAAGCAAGGGGAACAGATTTGTAAATAACATGTTGAATTTATTTGAAAAGCTGTATGTGAGACAGATTTGCAGCTTTTTGTATAATCCTCTTTTTCTGTTTTACTTTGTATATGGAGAGGCTCATCTTGGTGTTTAAATTTAGAATTAAAATAAGGAAAAGAAAAGAAAAAAACAAGTCACGGGAGAGAAGTATAATGCAATATTATTTTGCTGTAAAAAACATCAGTGATGAATCCAGAAAAGCATGAAAATACATAATTGAACTGATAAAAACTGCAGTAACTGCATAGCATCATAACAGTGTAAATGGAAAACAACAGCAAAACAATTGACACAATGTTGTGAAATTATAATGACCACAGGGAAGACATATGAGAAAACTTAGCCCCTTTTTTTGCTGATGTGGGGGACTATGGGTGTGGAACATTGCATTTAACTAGTAAGACTTTTTTGATGTGTTGATGTTTTGCTGGACTATTTTTGTTCTTTTAAAAATTATTTGTTAAAGGGATGGCTCTGAGTGAGGGATACAGTATGAAAATAGATGATGTAAAAACAAAGTATATCAATAATTCTTAAAAATGTGTGTTCTAGTATTAGTATGTGGTTTTGTTTCTTCAGGAAGGCATGTTGGCTTCATTCTATAATAAAATAAATACATGTAATTCTTTTCACCTTGGGAAGAAAATAGCCCCCTTGTGGAGTACAGGTTGTTTGACCTAAAATATGTGGAAGGATATGATTGAAAATACCTTATGTGTTCATGCGCAGGTGTGGGTGCTTTTTTATGATTTTGTGTTTTAGGGATTTCATAGTAAATAGGTTAAGTTTTGTGTGCAAAGGAGACAGATCAAAGAAGGACTCAATGATTACTCATATACCATTTTGACACTTTCTAATGCCAAAGTCACTTTTCTTCTTAAAATATTTTCTTTTCATATTTATATTTCTTTGGGAAAAACTGAAAACACCACTTAGATTTTGAGGACTTCAGTTACCAAAGTAGCTGTCAGTTGGGCTGTCTGCTCAGCCCAGTTCATTAGTTACATTGTTGACAATTTAAATTCCAGTCCCTGGAACCATTCAGTGTCTTTTGAACACCTAAATAACATTAGACCACAGAGAACCAGTGTGGTAAAGTGGGATGAATATTGGATCTGGGATCTGAGGACCTGGGTTTAAACCAGTCTCTGCCACTAGCAATTTGTATGACCTTGGACAAAAAACTTGACTTTTCTCGATGTCTAATTTTCTCATGTGTTCAATGAAGGGGCTGCTGGTTTGTTTTTCAAGAGTGGAATGCTTTATTTTACTGGTCCCCAAGATCACCCTGAGTTCATTTACCCCAAAGAGGTGACTGTTACTTGTATCTTCTTAGGGTGGTCCTGTTCCATACTTGATCTTGCTTGCCATATTCAGAATAAGCAATAGCCTTCTCATTGTGTTCACATGATGGTGGGCTGCTTTTATCAGATTCTGAAAAGCCCCTGCCTCTCATCCATCTTGATCTGAAAACATAATATGGCATCAGTTTTCTGTTCCAGGGGGTCCCTGGTCCAAAATGGGGCCCTCCCTACCATAGGCACAGTAGGAACTTACAGAGAGTTCTGTTATTCCCTTTGAAGAGATGAGAATAGTCATCCTTGGAGGTGGGATGAGGAATAGTAGATAGAGTGGCCTTCTCTATCCCTATAGTTGTTTATTGACTGGTGTCCTGAAGTCTACAGGTCACAGGCTGCTGTCCTGAGCCTGACAATTGTTACCAGCCACTGTCCCAGCCTGAGGTTTGGGGGAAGAGCTTTTGGGGAGAATGTGTGGAGTGAAGGTGAGAGGTGAGCAGGTGTTCTGTCACTTGCTGTCTGGAGGAGACAGGTCAGACTGGCCTCTGTCCTCCTCATCTTTATGATCTCAGAAGCCTGTTCATGATACTTATATCACATAAAAGGGGAGCAGGATGGCAAGGGGGAAGGAAAGGTACAGGTACCCTTCACATCGTGGAGGTTACAGTCAGAGTCCCAGTGTCACAGGGGACAGTAGCCATGTCCCTTGTGGCCTCTAATGGTCTCAGAAAAATCTATTCATTCGGATGGAATTATCTCCAGGTTGCGGGGATGTTGCTGTCTTGGCCACTATGTCCATTCCCCTCCTGGGGTTCTATGGGCTTTGCTAAGTCCATGCCTACTGAGGACCTGGTGATGATGAGGAAAAAAAGAAGAGATGGCCTCCAGGGAACAAGAGGCCAGGGCTCTTCTGGCACCCCTTTGACCTGCTACACCTGATTACAGAAATCATACTGAGCCTGGGGCTACCGAGGGCCCTCTCTTTAATGTGAGAATAAGGCTGGAGGAACTGAGGCCCTCCACCCAGACCAAATGGATCTGCATTTCCTATTGATCAGGGAAGGCTCCAGTCAAAATCTGTTCTGTGTTGAATGTGGGGAGGGATCCAGGGTAACAGGCTTCTTCTTCCCATACCTGATAGAGAGGTGATTGAGCAGCAGTCCAAACTCTTTCACTGCTTTCAAACAGACCTCATGGAGATTGCAGGGATCTGGGGAGGGCTTATCTGGGAAGGCCCTGGTCAGAGTCTCTGTTCAGGGTTTGGACAAGGTGAGGTTCAAGGAAATCAGCCTAGACTATGCCTCGTACTCATATTCTGCTACGTAGTAGTCACTTCAGCTTCTTGGTGTTAAGGGGAAGTGAGGCACAATCCAGGCATTAGCCATTTTGAAGCTAAAATTATGGGGACATTGATGGAGGCCTCACTGTCTAGCTGGAGAGGGCCATTGTCCTTTATGGGCATGCACCAAAGCCATGAATTCTGAGCTTCTAGTTGAGAAGGTAACTGGGCCCTACCTATGGCCCACAAGTTGTGGCTTTCTCCACTGGCCCTTCTCTTGCCTAAGACAGGGCCATTCCACAAATGACACATCCCAGGTTGGCAGCTGCTGTCCATTGCCCTCTGGAGGACTGTGCTAAGCCCATGCTAGCTGAGGGGCCCAGGCCCTGGCAGCCCACCATCCTGCTCATGGGATTACAGGACTATGCAAGGAGGTTGAATTAAATGAACCTCTAAAGTCCCTTACCTCTGGGTTTGTAATTAATAAAAAATACAATTTTGCTTTTGACATAAAAGCAAAATTATATTTTTTATTAATTTAGGCCTCTCCTAATTGTCACTTTAATGATTTGTGTACTTTCCATGTCTAAACTGTTCTAAAATGTTAGCTTCCCTGAGGGTGAGGATGGTTTCCTAATTATCTTAATTATTTCTGTATCTGTATAAGATTTAACAAAATATCTTGGCACTTAACACATTGTGTAGAATTGAATTCTCTTTGGAAAAAAGTTACTAATATATTTCATTCAAGGAGCCTTGTATGTGCCAAGCCTTTACCATGTTCGGGTTCTATACTTAGGGAAGAAACTGTACTTGTGGCAGTGGGGGCTGGTTACTTAGCCTGTAAAATCAAGGTCAGGAGAAAGAGAACTTGACGTCTCATAGAGTGATAGATGACTGTTTGAGATTAGGCTTCTAAACCAGTTATGTTGGTTCTGTGATGTCTCTTAAATGATAGATAGGGCTATGCATTTGAATGACTTTCTTTTGCAAGTAAATTTTTCTTGAAGAGATTTTAAATTTGTTTCTTTTTTATGCAAGCCAGGAGAGCTGATTATTTCATTGCCAGAGAAGTGCCTGCTCACTACAGACACCGTAATTAAAAGCTACTTGGGAGATTACATTACTAAGTAAGTAATAATACATACATTCTCATAGTGGAAGTATTTTTTTTAAAATAATTCTTAATAGTTGGTATTCTTAGTAAGTCTTAATAACTGGCAGTTTAAAAAATTTGACAAATTGGACAGCTCTTGACAACATTAAGTTGTGATTATAAAAAGCTGATATTTCCTAGAAGTTTGTTCTAAGAATCCTAGATTTAGAGAGGAAAGGGGCCATAGAGCCCCATCTAATCCATTTTACAGATGAGGAACTGAGGCTTACAGAGTGACTTTATTGTTGTTTCTGACTCTTCATGACCCCAACCCCAGTTGTTTTTTTGTTTTTGTTTTGTTTTTGTTTGTTTTGGTTTTGGTTTTTTGTTAAAGATACTTGCTGTTTCCTTTTCCAGCTCATTTTACAGGTGAGGCAACTAGGCAAAAGGGTTAAGTGACTTGCCCAGGGTCACACAGCTAGCAAATGTCTGAGGACAGATTTGAACTAAGGAAGATGAGTCTACCTGACTCCAGGCCCAGCACTCTATCCACTGCCCCTTCTTGCTGCCCAGAGTGTCTTGCTGAGATCAAACACAGTTCTTCTGACTCCACATCCAGCTGAAATTATTTAAGGGTCCTTTATTTGCTACTGAGCTTTACAGTTTCTGGAAGCCTTTGACAGATTTGAAGCACCCTTGAAGTAATGAGAGACCTGGGCTTATTTGGCGTAGAAGAAAGAATAATTTTTGTACATATAGGTTCTTTTCCTTTTTTGTTTTTTATCTCTTTTGAGATACAGACCTAATACTGATATTGCTTTCTCAAAGGGTGTAGCCCTTTGGGCATAGTTCGAAAGTCACCTACAATGCATTTGTGTCTCAATTTTCCCACATCCCTTCCAACATTTGTCATTTTCCTTTTCTGTCAAACTACTCAATCTGATAGGTGTGGGGTGGTAGCTCAAAGTTGTTTTAATTTGCCTTTCTCTAATCAGTAGTGATTTACAGCACTTTTTCATATGACTATAAGTAGCTTTGATTACTTCACCTGAAAACTGCCTGGTTGTATCCTTTGACCATTTATCAATTGAGGAATGGCTCTTATTTTTATAAATTTGACTCAGTTTTCTATTTATTTGAGAAATGAGGTCTTTATCAGAGAAACTTGCTGTAAAATTTTTTTCGCAGTTAGATTCCTATGTATTTTCCTCCATCCTATTATCCCCCGTTTATCCTATTCTCTCTCTCTCCTTTCACACTGTCCCTTCTCTTTTTGCTCTGACTTTTACCTCCCCTAATCTGCCCTCCCTTCTGTCAGCCCCCCCCACCCCCTTTTCCCCTTCCTCTCCTACTTTCCTGTATGGTAAGATAGATTTCTATAGCTAACTGAATGTGTATGTTATTTTCTCTTTGAGCCAGTTCCAACGAGAGTAAGATTCTTGTGCTCCCACTTACCTCCCCTATATTCTCCTCCACTGTAAAAGCACTTTAGTGCCTCTTTTATGTCAGATAATTTACTCCATTCTACATCTCCTTTTCCCTTTCTCCTAGTAAATTCCTTTCTCACCCCTTAATTTTATTTTTTTAAATAATCATCCCATCAGATTCAAGTCGCATGTGTGCCCTCTGTCTATGTATACTTCTTCTAAGTGCCTTAATTAAGAGAAAGTTTTTAGGAATTACAAGTCTTGTTTTCCCATGTAGGAATGTAAAAAGCTAACCTTATTGAATCCCTGATGATTTCTCTTTCCTGCTTACCTTTTTATCCTTCCCTTGAATCTTATATTTGAAAGTCAAATTTTCTGTTCAGCTCTGGTCTTTTCATCAGGAATGCTTGAAAGTCCTCTATTTCATTAAATATCCATTTTTTCCCCTGAAGGATTATACTCACTTTTTCTGGGTAGGTGATTCTTGGTTGTAATTCTAGTTCTTTTGCCCTCTGGAAATTCATATTTCAAGACCTCTGGTCCTTTAATATAGAAACTGCTAAATCTTGTGTTTTCCTGACTGTGATTTCACGATATTTGAATTGTTTCTTTTTGGTTATTTGCAGTTGTTCCTCCTTGACCTGAGGATTCTGGAAATTGGCCATAATATTCCTGGGAGTTTTCATTTTCAGATCTCTTTCAGGAGGTGATTGGTAGATTCGTTCTTTTTTTTTTTAACCACTTCTAATGTTTTTTTCTTTTTTTCTTTTTATTAATTTATTTTGATTTATCAGCAATCACTTCCATAAGCTTTTGAGTTTAAAATTTTTCTCCCTCTCCCTTCCTGCCTCCATCCCCAAGATGGTGTGCAATCTGATATAGGCCATACATGTACATTCCTATTAAACATTTTCACATTAGTGGTGTTGTAAGTAAGAATTAGAACCAATAGGAGGAACCACAAGAAAGAGGAAACAAAACACAACAGAGGAAAAAAAATAGCAAACGGTATGCTTCAATCTTCATTCAAACTCTATAGTTCTTTCTTTAGATGTGGATAGCACTTTCCATCATGAGACTTTTGGAGATGTCTTAGATCTTAGCATTGCTGAGAAGGGCTAAGTCTATCAAAGTTAGTAATTGAACAATGTGGCTGTTACTGTGTACATTCTCCTGGTTCTACTCACTTCACTCTGCATCATTCCATACAAGTCTTTCCAGGTTTTTCTGAAGTCTGCCTGCTCATCATTTCTTATAGCACAATAGTATTCTATTACATTCATATACCATGACTTGTTCAGCCATTCCCCAATTGATGGGCATCTTCTCAATTTCCAATTCTTTGTCACCACAAAAAGAGCTGCTATAAATATTTTTGTAAATGTGGGTCCTTTTCCTATTTGTATGATCTCTTTGGGATACAGCCCTAGAAGTGCTATTGCTGGGTCAAAGGGTATGCACATTTTCATAGCCCTTTGGGCATAGTTCCAAATTGCTCTCCAAAATGGTTGGATCATTTCACAACTCCACCAGCAATGCATTAGTGTTCCAATTTTCCCACATCTTCTCCAACTGGTAGATTCTTTCAATTTCTGTTTTGCCCTCTGGTTCTAGAGTATTGGGGTAGTTTTCCTTGATAACTTTCTTTTTTCTTAATAGCACTTTTTTCCCAATTACATGCAAAGATAGTTTTCAATATTCATTTTTATAAAATTTTGAGTTCCACATTTTTCTCCCTGCCTCCCATCCTACCTCCTCACCTCCTAACCCACCTCCCCAAGACAATAAGCAATCTTATGTAGGTTATACATATATAATCACATTAAGCATATTTCCACATTAGTCAAACTGTGAAAGAAGAATCAGAACAAAAGGGAAAAACCATGAGAAAGAAAAAACAAAAATGGAAACAAAAAAAGTGACAGTAGTATGCTTTGATCTTCATTCAGAGTCCATAGTGCCATTAATATCTCATTTATTACAAGATGTCCCAAAAATCTTAGTGCAGCTTAAACTTGGACTAAGACTTCTGGGACACCCTGTATAGCAAGACAGCATGGCTTAGTGAGTATAGGGTCAGTCTTGGAGTCAGACTTTGGTTCAGACACATTTTGGCTCTCTGACCATGGGTGAATTACTTACCCTCATCGTGCTCCAGGTACCTTTATAAGGCTGTAAGAGCTAGATGAGTTGCTGATTTGCAATGATGAAAAGGGTTTCCACAATTAAGAAAATTTCAGGTCTGCCCTTCCTAGTCTCCTTAATTTATTGGGCATTTTAAGGGTGACAAAGTAAATTCTCACAATAACCTTGGGGAGTGGGTAGTCAAAGTGTTATTACCCTTGTTTTATAGATGAGGAAACTGAATTGTCTACATTTACAAAGTCATTGTGAGAGACAGGATTTGATCCTATGTCTTTGACTACCAAGCCTAGTGTTCTTTCCACTGTACTACACTGCCTCTTGAGATCACATTAAGTGTGTTGAAATACAGCCTTTGCCCCCTTGAATTCTGAATAAAGGGCTTATCTACAAATATTAGGCTTGTCTTATTCAAATATAATTCATCCTCACCCTTCAATCTGAAGTACAGGGTTGTGGCAGAATATTTCTCAAGGCTTAAGTCTGGAAAAAATTTGATTTCAGTTTTCAGATATAAGTGAGGCAAAGAAATATATATTTGATAGTGGGAGAGAGGAAATTATTATCTTTTTTTGACTACCAGGAGGTTGGGAGCTGAGAATGTGTTTCCTGAAGCCTTGAGAAGGTAGTGTATGCATGTGTTTTAAGGGTACACTGTTAAAAAATAGGTAATAGTAGATGCCAGTATCATTCAAGTGTTGTGCTTAATGGAGGTTACATACGCAAGACCTCACACATTGAGTCCACAATAAGAGGGAGCTATATCTCTCAACCTCAAAGAGAAGGAATCTATGCTGCTAACCCTATGGTTTTATACTGATGAGGCCTGTGCTTTGCATTCAGGGATAACATTACTGACATCCATCACGATCTGTTTATGTTAGTTAGCAACCATTTATTAACTGCCTACTGTGTATCAGGCACTGTGCTAAGTGCTAGGGACATAAATAGAAGCAGAAAGGAAAGTCCTTGCCTTCAAGGACTTACCTTCTAATATGGAAAGACAATATAAAAGGAGAGCTAAAAATTGTGGGGTAGGGAGTAGGAATTCCTAATGCTGTGGTGGGAAAGTCTGGAAAATAAAGAGTGGCTGGTCTGGGCCTTTCTCTAAAAAAGAAGTTTCCAGGAACAATTTACCAATGGAAGAAGAGGCCCACAAGAGTGAGGGAGAAGGCAGCTGACTTGAGGTAGTGAAATCTGGAGAATGAGGGATGACTGGAAAGACACAGTACAAGTAAACATGACTCCTTTACTTGAGGTTATAGCTGCTGTTTGTCATTTTTTTCTCCCCACTTCCATTATATTTGGTTGGACTTGAAATTCTGTAAAGGCTGTAGAGGAATCAGGTGCACATATGAATGACCCATCCTTTTCTGGGCAGCTAGCTGCCAGATAGAGTGCTGGACCTGGAGTCAGGAAGACCTGAGTTCAAATCTGGTCTCAGACAATCACTAGCTGTGTGATCCTGGGCCAGTCACTTAACCTTGTTTGCTTCAGTTTCCTCATCTGTAAAATGAGCTGGAGAAGGAAATAACAAACTACTCCAGTACCTTTGGCAAGAAAACCCCAAATGGGGTCATGAAGAGTTGAACATGACTGAAGCAGCTGAACAGCCACAAATCCTTTTCTGAGAAGAGGGCCTTGTAAAATGAACCAGACCCTGACATGTCTTCATGAGCTTTGACTGATGCCATAGTATGAATACATACTACCAGGTGGCCCATTCTGTGTCACTTCAAGTGAAGGGAAATAGTTTCTAGGAGGGAGGAGATGATGAAAGAACATATTAAAATTAGAGCATTAGCCTATTTCATATTTTATAGAAAAACTAAATAATTTTTCAAAATCTTTACTTTTAAATAGGTGGACGCCTCCTATATGTCCCTTGTTGGCACTGTGTGCCTTTTTGATTTCAGAAAAACATGCAGGAAACAAGTCTCCCTGGAAGCCCTACCTGGACGTTTTACCAAAAGCCTATACTTGTCTTGTTTGCTTAGAACCTCAAGTGGTGAGACTTTTACCTAAACCTTTAAAAACGAAAGCCCAAGAACAGAGGACTCATGTTCAGGAGTTGTTCGATTCCTCCAGAGGGTTCTTTTCTTCTCTCCAATCTTTATTTACTGAGGATGTGGAACACATTTTTCACTATAATGCTTTTCTCTGGGCTTGGTGTACCGTTAACACCAGAACAGTGTACATGAAACACGTGCAGAAGGAATGTCTTTCAGCAGAGCCAGATGTGTATGCTTTAGCTCCGTATTTAGATCTGTTGAATCACAGCCCGGGAATTCAGGTAAGAAATGTATTTTGCTTTTTATGAGGAAGACCAACATACACATAGAATTTGACTTTGTGTAGCAGGTGGAATCAAAAATCAATCAACACAAATTTGTTAAGTGCCTACTACGTGCCAGGCTGTTTGCTAAGTACTGGGAGTACAAAGAGTAAAACAATCCCTACTTACAATGAGCTTACATTCAAATGAGGGAGACATCAAACACGTATAAGTGTATATACCTACCTACCTACCTACACACATACATACGTACAGACATACATACTTATATACTTACATGTAATACATGTGTATATACATATATTTATGTGTGCTTGGTGTCTCCATATATGTATGTGTACACATATGTTCATGTTTTTTTTTGGTGTCTATGTGTGTGAATGTGTGTGTGTGTATATATACATACACACACACACACACACACACACACACACACCCATACAATATAAACATAAGATAAATACAAATATATACAAAATAGTTAACTACAAGGTAGTTTGGGAGAGAGGGAACTTAATCTGGTTGTGTTTCTCAGGAAAGGCTTCTTTCAGGAGATGATGCTTAATCTTTGTCTTCAAGAAAGAATGAGGCCCTCAAGGATAAGGAGGAAAATGTATTCCAGACTCATAGGATAGTGTGAGGAACAGCCTGGCTTATAGAGTATGAGACAGGGAATAACGTTTAATGAGGCTGGAAAGGTAGAGTGTAGAGGGCTTTACAAGCTAAACAGAAGGGTTTATATTTTTTTCTAGAGGCCACAGGAGGTCACTAGAGGTAATTGAGTAGGGGAGGTGTGCTTCTAAGGAAAATTACTTTGTCAGCAGTTTCTAGGATGGGCTGGAGTGAGGACCCGAGAAGGACTTGGGGCAGAGAGACCATTTTGGAGACAGTTGTTAATAGTCAAGATGAGAGTCAATGAGGCCTGGACGTAGAGTAAGCAGCGATGCTAGACGTATTGTAGAGGTAGAAACTGCAAGCTTGGGTGATTGATTGACTATGTGGGATGAGGGGGAAGGAAGAGTCCGGATAATGCTTAGTACTGTGTGTATGTAAGAGAATGCCTGGTGCCAGCAAAATTGTTTTCTCTCCTTTTTTTTGCTTTTTGGTGAGGCAATTGGAGTTAAGTGACTTGCCCAGGGTCACACAGCTAGTAAGTGTCTAGTGTTTGGTCTGAGGCAGGATTTGACTTCAGGTCCTCCTGACTTCAGGAGCCACCTAGCTGCCCTGACAGATAGTCTTTAAGAGGAAAGAAATTTCATTAGACCAGGGACCACTTAGGTTTAAATAACTAGTTTGTGGCTTGATCCGTGGACATAGTTGGTGGGGTCAGGTTACCTATAGTTAGGGTAGTTAGTGGACAGACCTGGTTGTGCTGAATAGAGCTGCTTTATGTTGCTATTCAGATTTTTGTTATAACTACAAGGTTATTGATAAGGTATTCTCCTTATAACTTTTTGAGGTTGGTACTTGTAGATAAGATTCCTTGGTCTTTTAAATAAAGTGGTCAGTAAAAGTACCAATATTATGATGGAAAGTGGGTGCAAAAGAGAATGACTGTATTGACCTGTATAATTTCCCCAGTGTAGTATTCTGGAAAGAACACTGGATTTAGATTCAGAAGACTTGGATTTAGATACTGACGCTTTGCTCATCTGTAAATGGGGTTAAATTATACTTGGGTTGTTGTGTGGAAAGGGTTTTTGTAAACATTAAAGTGTTATACAAATGTATTGAGGTTTCATGGTGTGTTGTGTGGGGTCGTCTCAAAGAATTCAGAGTCAGACCACCTCTAATCCAAGTATAGGCATTTATTGGGATTGATGCCTCCAACAGACTGGATTCCAAGAGGAACCAGCTGCTTAGTAGGACAAGACAGGCAGTTTTATAGTATAATGATGCTGATTATGCAACAGAAATTATGAATATTAAAAAGGCAGGATGGATTTGTTAAGGGATTAGGTAATGGGAAGGGGTTTGTTAAAGGATTAGGTAATAGGGAGGGGTCCCAGACTCAGTGAAACTGTGCGTGCAATTATCCACAATGCACACAGAAAAATCCATGACTGGGGAGGCAGGTATGTGTCGTAATGATATTATAATAAGCCTCTCTATGTAATGAGTTTATTTTAGGCCAATTCTTTACTATTACTGTGCAGGTGCCTACTTAGGGAAAGTCCTTTCTATTGTTTTGGGGTCCACATCCTCCTTGGGGATCCTGGTGGTGCTGCTTTCTGACTGACTGCTATTGTGGTCCTGTCTGAGATTAGATGGATGCGGTTGTGGTTGAGTGTATGGACACCTATTGTTTCTGTGGGAAATATGAAGAATGGGTGTGGAGGCAGTGGCTAGCGGGAGGCAGTGGCTAGCGGGAGGCGGTGGCTAGCGGGGAGGCAGTGGCTAGCGGGAGGCAGTGGCTGGGATCCATTAACATGGACACATCTCCTGTGTTTGTGTGGAATGTGAGTTCATGGACACACCTTTTGTTCTAGTGAGCATGAGGCATATATGAGGAAGTTAGGATATTGAATCTGGGATGGGGAGGGGAGAGGGAGGGCAGTGCCTAGGTAGGGGCAGTGGGCCTGCTATTCAGTGAGACCCATAAAGAAGTTAGAATATTGGGGCTGGGGGCTGATGGGGTTCCATCAAATATATTATTCCATCCCTTAATTATTTCACTCCCAAAGGCAGCAGAATTAGGTTGGATATTATGAGTATCTGAGTCCTTGCCAATCCTTAGCCTTCATGAATCTTTGAAATTCTCTTCTTTATTTACTATTTCTAGCTAACTAGCATTTAGTAGCACTTTAAAGTTTGCAGGGTACTTTACAAATATTGTGAATGTTATATCATTTGATGTCACAACAACCTTGGGAGGTAGGTGCTATTATTATCTCCCATTTTACAGATGCAGAAATTAAGGCAGACAGGTTAAGTGACTTGCTCAGGGTCATACAGCTTTGAGACTGGATTTGACAGTTCCTGACTCTAGGTCCCTTGATCTATCCACTGTACCACCTAGCCACCTCTGTTCTGAACAACATCTACAATTCGGTGGTGATCAGGTATCTTAAAAAGGGCTGCTTAGAGTGAAAATGGTTTAAAGAAGACAGTTTGTTATGTAATACATTAATGGATGAAAAGCTTATCTCTTGCATTTGGCAGTCCACCAGTGTGCAGCTAATGATGATGCCTCCTTATACTACTATAGTTTTGCATACTTTCCAGCATATTTTTTTCTACACATGATCTTATTTGATCCATGTAACTAACCATGAGGCAGATAGAACAATTTTTTCCTGAGACGACCACGGCACAGGTAAGTTAAGTGTCTTCTTTCATTGTCCACGAGTATAATATTTAATCACAATTGTCTTCTCTACCTCAACCACTATTTTCATCCTTGATAAATTCAGTATTCACATTGATGCCCCTTCAAACATTCTTATTTCCCATTTCATCATTTTCCTTAACTCCTGTTACTTCCTTTTACACTTTCCTACTACTACCCACATTGATGGATATACCTTTAACTTCACTATCACCCCACTCTCCGTGATCTAGAACTTTTTTAAAAATAAATTAATTTTTAGTTTTCAGCATTCATTTTTATAAGATTTTGAGTTCTGAATTTTTCCCCTCCCCAAGATGGCCTACATACATATACAAATATATTACAAATACAAATATTTATATTTTATATATTATATATGTTTATTATATGTTTATATATATTTAATATATATTTATATTTTATTTATTATATATACAAATATATATTATATATATACAAATATATTACAAATATATACAAATGTGTTACATATATTTCCACATTAGTCATGTTGTAAAAGAAGAATCAGAACAAAAGGGAAAACCCACAAGAAAGAAAAACAAAAAAACAAAAACCAAGAAAAGAGAAAATAGTATGCTCCAGTCTGCATTCAGACTCCGTAGTTGTTTCTCTGGATGTGGTTAGCGTTTTTCATCCTGGGTCTTTTGGAATTGTCTTAGATCATTGCATTGCTCAGAAGAATGAAGTCTATCAAAATTGGTCGTTGCACACTGTTGCTGTTACTGTTTACAATGTTCTGGTTCTGCTCACTTCACTCAGCATCACTATGATCTAGAATGTTCACATTCATGTCTTTGAGCTTTCTCTGTCGAGCAGTAGTTGTCTCTCTGGAGACTTTGGTCTGTTACCTAGAGTCCAGCCTTTTTCCTTCACAGGACCTTTTTGTTAACCAATTTAATAAGGCCCCTTGGAAATCCTTTCCCTCCTGTCCTTCTGCTGTCCATGCTGTCCTCACTCACTGGGTCATAACCCCTCACCGTCTATCCCATTATCTTCTGCTTCTTTGCTTAGTCTGCTATACCCTGCTAGAGGAAGTCATGGGACTGTGTCAGTTGGATTCAACTGAGACCTCCATCTTGTTTATTCATCTGCTATCCAATCACACTCCCTTCAGCAGATATTCTAAACCTTCCCTTTTCCTCATTCTCCTAATGCTACGCCATCTTCCTTTCTCCTAGCAGATGGCTTTGCCTCCTGCTTTACTGAGAAAATCAAGGCCATCCCTTCTGTGATCCCTTTAATCCTTTCCTCCACAACTCAGCATCTGTTTTTATGTCTTCATTGGCAATTCTCCTTCACAAAGTGTACTTGATCACAGCCCCTTCTGTCTCCTTAGGGATTTTGCCTGATATTCCTTCTCATCATTAGTTTCTTCCTGTATTAATCCCCTGATGCCTACAAATGTGCTTAGGTCTTTTTGCTATTTAGTTCAAATGAGATAATATTTGTAAAGTGCTTTAGCACAATGTCAGGCAAAAACTACTATTACCATTATAAATTACCACTGTATGCCATATTGATTTTAGTTACATTAGTATTATTAGATTTATCAATATGTTAAACTGTGTGTCAATATGTATCAACTATGTTCAGGGACAGGGGATACAGAGACAGAAGGGAAACTTTTCCTGCCCTCATGGAAATTACTTTTTATTGGTCAATATACCATGTACACAAATAAGTAAATATAAGGTTATTTGAGAAGCAACTATCGCTAATAATCTTTTTAAAAACCAACAGAACTTTCCTTTGACCGTTCTCTTTTCTTGTGCTGTCATCCTATATCTCTCTTATTTTCATCATTAAACTCTAGGAGGAGTAATTTGTATTAGATGCCACCATATCTCTGTAACCCCAATCTCTTCCTTTTGATCCCTATTCCATATCTTTAACTGTACTCTGGACAGTTTCATTTTATTTTATATTTGTATCTCTAGTATCTAGTATAGTGCTTCGCTCATAGAAAGTGCTTGACAAATGTTTATTGAATTTAATAGTCCAAATTCATTGAGCTAATTCTTCTTGTTCTGTTCTCTTTATAGTCATCAGTGCTGTAGCAATCAAAGGTTAGTGTAGACAGCTTAGACTGCAGGGTTAAGCAAATGTGTATGCTAATGTATTCAGCTAAGGAGCTGATGATCTGTGACAGAGGCGGGGTGTGAAATGATTTTTAATGGTACAATAGCTAGATTGTGGAAAAAGGGAGGCAGAGCCATACACCACATTGTGAAAGGGGTCTGTCTCTTAATGATGGGAAGAGTCCTGTTAGAGAGAGGAAGCTGTAAGCTTCCCATGTCTTCACAGATTTGTGAATAAATTTATATTCATTGGTGAATAAATGAATACAATAAGTTTAGATAGTTATATATACATGTAAATGTATGTATATGTGAACTTAGTTTTCTCATCTGAAGAACGAGAGGGTTAGACCAAGTAATTTCTTAAATGCCTCTGAGCTTTGAAATTCTATGATTGCCAGTAGAATAACTCATGAATGGGTCTTCTCAATACAGTTTTGGAAGAACAAAATAACCTTGAGTAGAGGAGAGTTAAGATTGTCAGTTCAACTGTTGAAGATGTCAAATGTCTTCTAGAGAAAGGCAATACAGAAAGATGCTGTGAACAGAGAAGAGGCTGAATGAGGTACTTTGTGACTTGGCAGTCATTAAAGTATACTTCATTTTTACTTAAGTTGGTGGTGCCTTTATGTTCCATCCCTGTGATGGAGCAAACCGAGAGTGTGCTGCCCTTGGATTTTTTGTTGTCAACCTAACTTAAGGTCCAAATTTCTTGTCCATGCTTTAGGCCTGAAGTGTTCTTAAAAAGAACTCTTAGATATATTCCATAGCTTCCTTTCTGGTCTGAGAATCTATTGCTAAGCAGGATATTCTTTTCACTTAAGGAAAATTCCCCTGCTTATACCCACTCCTTAGTCTATAGAAGAAGGTTTTTTTTTCTTCTTCTCAGTATATTTCTTCATATTTGCTACCTATAAGCTATGAATATTTGCCCAAAATCTGTAGCTGTTTTTAAATGTAACAGCATAACTTAAATGTTGAAGCAGGAAATAGAACTTTTTCTTCATTTTTTTCTATACCTAAGAAATTACATCTACCAGTGTTATTATTATAGCTGCATATTTAGGGTTAAAAAACAAAATCAGATGTATGAGTCTAATTCTGTGTTAACAAACAAACCAAAAAGCTCCCCAAAAGCCCCCCAAATGTTTTGTTGATAACTTTTGTCTTTAAATCAGAATCATTTCAGTTTCCCTAGACCTCTAAATCAAGCCTTCCTTCGTGACAAAGAAAAATAACCAAGCAAAATCATCCAGTACTATGAAATTGTATGACAGTATGTACAATACTCAATCCTAGCAATTCCCTGTCTCTGTAAAATGAAAGAAGAGAGGTAGGTTTTGTTGTCTGTTCTCTGAGACCATTACTTTTTCAGTTATTCAGAGTTTGACTTCCTTTTGGTGATCTTTTGTATATATTACTATAATCATGAGTATTGTTTAATTGTAAATTTTGCCCTGCATCAATGCATACCATTTTTCTGTGTTAATCTGGTTTGTTCATATTTGTCAAATGAACACAGTAATATTCTGTTACGCTCATATGTCGTAATTTTTTCAGCCACTCTTCAGTTGTTGGGGAACCCATTTTATTTCCAGTTCTAGGAATTCTGTGGTGAAATTTCAGTGTAAATTGGGCCTTTATTTCTGTCTTTGATTTCTTTGGAGAGATATGCAACTGTAGTGAAACCATTGGTTCAAAGGGTATATATGAGGAGTTTAGTCTCTTTTCTTGCATGATTCCCAAGTTATATCCAGAATGGTTGAACTACTTCACAGCTATACCAACAATGTATGATCTTTACCAATGTTGACTGTTCTTGTTTTTTCATCTTTATCAATCTGCATGGAAAATTGCTTTCTGATGAATCTGTGTTCTTATGTGGCATTTATAGTTTGCAATTCTTTTTTTTTTTCTTTAAGGTAATTGGGGTTAAGTGACTTGCCCAGGGTCACACAGCTAGTTAGTGTTAAGTGTTTGGTCTGAGGCTAGATTTGAACTCAGGTCCTTCTGACTTCAGGGTTGGTACTCTATTGACTGCACCATCTAGCTGCCCCTGTTTACAATTCTTAAAAAAAACCAACTGTTCATATCTGGGTAATCCAGATTTTATAGATTACAGATTATAGATTTCATAATACTGATTTCTCTTGGTCCTCCTGACCACTTCTTAGCCACTTTGGTGGATCATCAGTGTGTATTCTGTCACTAACTTCTTCCTTCTAAACATATGTACACACACACTCACATTTTCTTTTTTTCTCTTTCTCTCACTCTCTCTGTCTTTCTTTCTCTGACTTGACATGGTTGTAATAATCTCTGTGATTACTCTCAAATCTATATATCCAGCCCTAGTCTTTTTCCCACCTCAAGTCCTACATTGCAGACTGCCTATTACACATTTTAACCTATATGTTCTCAGGTCTTCCAGACTTCAAATCCAGCTCTCTCTCCATTGCACTACATAGCTACCACCATACTCTCTAGATTATTAGCTCCTCAGAGGCAAGGGGACTTTTGTCTTTTTCACCTTTGCCTTGTTATTAGTGCTTAGCACATAGTAGGTGCTTAATAAATGCCTGTCAGTTGATATAATTTAACCATTTATCCATCTTGGAATTAATCATGTCTCTTAAGTGTGATTTTAATCTGTTTTCCTTTGTAGGTAAAAGCAGCATTTAATGAGGAAACTCATTGTTATGAAATTAGGACTGCTTCAAGTTGCAAAAAATATGAAGAAATATTCATCTGTTACGGCCCTCATGATAACCACCGACTGCTTTTGGAATATGGATTTGTTGCCATCAATAATCCACATAGTGCTGTTTATGTATCAATAGGTCAGGTCAAGTTTTTTTCCTGTGCACATGATGCGAGTGAATTCCTAAAGGCATTTTTATATAGTCTTTAATAAGGAGAACATGTTCGTGATTTATTGTCTTCTCTGTAGACCTGTTTAGTCAGTTCTTTGACCTGAGTTTGCAGGCTAAATTTTTAGTGAAAGAAAACTGGGATTCTGTGGGGAAGCTGTTTGCAGGCTAAATTTTTAGTGAAAGAAAACTGGGATTCTGTGGGGAAGCTGATCAGAGGAAGGTTGCTGTTGACAGAAAGAAGCATAGCAAAGTGTGAGAGAGATAAAAATAGTGTTAACTCTCATCCTTCTTTGTATCACTTGTGCACTTTCACACTGTGTACATTTTTATTTCTTGCTAGTAGATTATAAGCTTCTTGAGGGCAGAGACTGTGTCTTATTCATTTTTGTTTCTCCCTTAGTGCCTACCACTGTTTCTTGTTTGTAGTAGGTGTTCAGGAAATGTATACTGAATAGAGAGGAAAGTGTGGAAATTATTGTACTCAAGTCATGCTCAATTGAGCAGAATTAGATAGGGATTTATTCAATGACAAGTATTTACTGAACATCTGCTTTGTATAAGACACTGGTTTGGTTACTATGGAAATTACCCCCAAAAAAGTATATAACACAGCTTATAGTCTAGAGAGAGAAAAATGTATATTTTTCATTATGTTCTCCAAAATTACTATTTTCATCAGCATGGTATATTTTGTTTTATTATAACCTGGAGATCTAGTCAGACATTAACTGTTTTAGATTGAACAAAATTCCAAGAGGTATTTTTTCATTTCATAACAGAGGATTGCTATTCCTGGCCTGAAGCCGTAGAAGCTGTGTTTTGGTCAGTATTAAAACTCTTCCTTTTCTGTGGCTTCAGGTCATGATGGGTAATGGCTTGATATTTAGTGAACAAATATTGGATAAAACAGGTTTGATGATTCTGAAGGATATGTTTTTTTAAAAAATTTTTAGGCAATTGGGGTTAACTTGCCCAGGGTCACACAGCTAATAAGTGTCAAGTGTTTGGTCTGAGGCTGGATTTGAACTCAGGTCCTCCTGACTTCAAGGCTGGTGCTGTATCCACTGTGCCACCTAGCTGCCCCAGAAAGATATGGATTTTAAAGGAGATTTTAGAAATCCTTAATATAACAAAGATGCTACTTTAGCTCTTAGAATGTTTACCTGCTCATTTAAATTAAAAATGACTAAAATGATAATTTTTCAGCCTTATAACAAGCTAGCTTTGTGATTGGCTCAGATATTTCATATTCATGACATATTATATAATAATATTAAAGAATTTTAAGAGCTAGAGTTTTTCTATTCTGACTCCTTTATTTTACTGTTGACAAAACTGAGGCACAGAGAGGTAGGCCCCAAAGCCGCCTAATGATTTAATGGTAGAGTTAGGGCTGAAATTCAGGACTCTGTATTCCTATATAAGTGATTTTTTGCATTAGTCTGTGTGGTTGACAAAAGTCATTGGATAAGTAGGGGGAAACAGAAAACATATTATAGTTTAAACCATTGGATTAAAGTTGTTTTAATTTGAATTGCTTTTATAGTTTCAGCATTTATAATTCATATGGCAGCTATGATTAAAAAAACAAAAAAAATCTTATTACCTAATCCTTTTGGTTGGTTTGTGTATTGGAAGCAAGAATTAAAGCTGGATATAATAAACCCGCAGGCAGTGAATATATTGGAAGGGACACTGGACTTGGAGTCAGGTGAGGCCAGTGTTCAAATCTCTCTAAAACTTTACTAGCTCTAAGTCACACAACCTGCTTGAGTGTGTCTTTCCTCATCTTACGGATGAGGATTTGTTTTTTTTACAGAAAGGGATAATAATACAATATTACAGAGCTGTCATGAAATGTGAAATATGAAATATGATCATTTATATAAAGTACCTTATAAATCTTAAATCACTTTATAAATGTCATCTATTATTAGTATTATTATTAATACTCCTCTTTCCATGAATACTACTACTAATACCACCACCATTACTGTGGTCTGCTGCCATGAAGTTATTGTGACTTTGTGGATGGTGAATGATCTTCCTGAATTGGACAAGAGGAACAAATTCTGTTTTTGAATCTAAAGCTCTTAGCTTCTACCATTTTCATTGTTATGTAACACAAATGATAATACTCTAACTACAGCTGTTATCTGAATTATGCCTCAAGTATGTGCATCTTTTTTTTTTTAATGAATCTTATCTTTAAAAATACAGATAACCTTGTTGATCACCTTCCTTCAGTGGACACACAGATGAGTCAGAAGATTTCCCTTTTAAAGGAGCATGGTTTTTCAGAGTAAGTATCCCTCTTTAATGAAATTTTCATTTCAGAAAGCTTTCATAGCAAACCTCAGAGTAAACAGTTTTCTTCAAGGCTGACTTGATTAATCAAAAAATATTTATTGAATATAAAACAGGGTACAGTGCTAGGGACTTCTGTGGATAGACACATAAAACATAGTCCCTGGCTTTTAGAAGCTTAGGATTTACTTGAAGAGACCAGATATACTTGCACACAGAATGAATTCAATGACCATATAAGGAGGCAGATACTGAGTGGTATTTCTTTGATGTTCCTCAGATGCTGCTGTTTTCCAATGACATTGTCCTGATTGCAGCAAGCCCCAGATCTTAGGAGAGTCTCCCGGATGAGATTTGTAATCACTCTCAAGAGTTTTCTTAACTTTCCAAATAGGAAATATTCAAATGGATAAAGAATGAATGACCTATTGTCCAGGCTGTGACATTCCTTTGGGTGAACAACCTGTAAAACTAGTCCACTGGTGTGTATACACTGCAAATGGACTTTGAATTGGTTGTAGAATTGGAAGAGGAGGCTTTATTAACTTTGGAAAATTGCAAAATTATTTTAATGATCCAACCATTTTCTTTGAAGGGCCATCTTCTTAGTTTCAATAGTAGCCACCACTTTGGTGGCTGAGTCACAAATCACTAAGGACAAGTGTATAATAAGAAAAAAGATGGGTGCTTGTGTTGGGAACCAGAGTTCACAGATTATAAACACAGAGCTGGAAGGTACATTAGAGGTCATCAAGTCCAACCATCTCATTTTCCAGATGTGGAAATTGAGACCCAGAGAAGTGAAGAGACTTGTTCAAGGCTACACAGCTGGTAATTAATTGTCAGAGCCATGATATAAACCCAAGTTTTCTTAACTCCAAGTCATCACAGTCTTCACTGTACCACAGTGTACAGTCTGCATGGCTCTTCTCGAAATGGCTGATGTCAAGTTAAGATGAGGATGAAGGCCCCCACTAGTGTGCTGGGTGGATCTGCTCTGGAGAATGTATGGAAAAACATGGACTGAGTGTCACACAGTAGACAGGCATGGTTTGGCTCTGACCTCCATAATTGGAAGGAATGCCCTCATGAGTAAAATTACAGATCCATTTGAATTATTGAGTAAATCTGCTATAAAATATATTCCAAATCAAACAGTAAATGCTTTTGGATTATTCATGTCATTTGCTCTCCACCTCCCTATGCTTATCCCCTGATTATAGCTAATTGGAAAGAGACTAATTCCCTTTTTTTTTCTCCCTCTGAAATGAACTCTTACCCTCTGAAAACTGCGGTTTCTTCTGATTAGTGAATTCTTCTGAAGGAGTATCCACACAAGTCATGCTCACCTGGAACTCAGCTCAGTTCCTGATTTTCTGGACTACTTTCTCACCTTGCCCCTACATAGTTAACTTCTTCCCATCCCCCTACTCTCCAGTTCCTTTTCGCATATCGTTTTCCCCTATTGGGATGTAAGGTCCTTGAGGGTAGGGCCTATCTTTCTTTTTGCTTGTGTTTGTATTCTCAGGGCCTGGCATGGAGTAAGTCCTTCATAAATGCTTTATTTATTCTGATTCTATCTATCAATTTACTTTTACACATTTGTGACTTTTTCTGCCTTTTCCTTTGGCCCAGGATCACAGGCCACATATTTTTAAGCAGAATCTTAAAGAAAATTGCCATAATGGTGTGTATGCTGCAGTAAAGAACTTATAACTTCTACCACTGATGGTTATTTTTGTTCTTTAGGAATTTAACTTTTGGATGGGATGGGCCATCTTGGAGACTGCTTACGGCCCTTAAGTTGTTATGTCTTGGAGCAGATGAATTGTAAGTTTCCGAGCTGCATTCTCAATGTGAGAGCGAACATATTGTTCACTTAGAAACCAAGGCCTCATTTGTCTTTGTACTTTTTATCAACAACTTCAATTTGGAGGACAAGGGATGTTGATCAGTCAGGAAGCATTTATTAAGTGCCTACTGTGTATTAGGCACTATATTAATGCATCAGGGATACAAGTTCAAAGGACACATGTACAATCCCAATTTACAAAGAACTTAAATTCTGATCAGGAGACAAACATTTTTAAAGTAGTTAAAAGTGTATGTAACGTAAATATAAGTATGTAAATACAAATATAAACAATAAATGTTTAGGAGAAAATAAGAAAGATTTTGTGGGTTTGTATTGAGGCATAGCTTTTATATTTCCCTTCTTGTAAGTGTTGCTGATGTTACCATGTTAAATATTTTGCTTCTAGTACATGCTGGAAGAAAGTGCTTCTTGGTGAAGTAATTTCAAACACAAATGAATGGAAGAGTTTGGTCTTGTCCAGAAAAATATGCTGTCATTACATAGAAGAGGCCAAAACTGTACTTCAGAAGGTATATTTCTAAAACACAGAATTCTTTATTTAAAAAATCCTAGTTGGATTACACTATTCTGTTTTATCTGCACATGAAATATGTGAGTGTGAAATATGAATAGTATGCTTTGGAGTGGTATTCAGCTGCTTGTTTTAATAAAACAAGGTTGCAGGAATATTTTTGCATGTGGAAGGAACATGTACATTTAATAGCATATATATTTGCACATCTCAATAGAGCTTTATAACTCAAACAGTTTGTGTTTAGGAATTACTTTGGTCTTCCATTAAAACAGTGATTCTAACAGTTTTCCACAGTGATAGAAGCCTTCAGCTTAAATAATGCTTTGGCTGAACCCTTACAGTAAAATGCTTTAAAATTATTATTTTAAAATTCTTATGAACAGAAAAGCATAATGTTAATGTAAAAAATAAGAAGCTGGAGTTGTGTCAGGATATTTTTGCAGCACAATTGGTTAAACTATTTATCTTATGTTCCTAAGACAATTCAGTCATTGGAAAATTCTTCTGAAATTATTACTAATGTTGATATTTATATCATTTCTAGATTTCTCATATGAAGGATGAGGAGGCAGGCCTAAAAGACCAGTTAACTTTGATTGAGAATCTGTGGATAGAAGAACTAAAGCTTCTTCAAGGGTCTGCAGATATTTTAAGGAATATGCACCAAGAAACCACCTGACCTGCCCAGAGTTATTTCCTCTTTCTCTGTGCTGTGTGACTTTTTGCAGGATGCAGGGTGCCTTTGATTATGAGTGTTTCGGATCTTCTGTTGTTTGCAAAGGAAGCATTTATTAAGCACTTGCTGTGCTCCAATCTCTGTGTTCAGTGCTGAAAGAACAAGTATAAAAGTAAGATAGTCCTCACCCTCAGGGAGGACACATTCTCCTTGAGGAGTAGGAGATGTTCACAGATAAGTAAACATCCAATCTATACAAAATAAATACACATTTATGTGGGGAGCAGCAGGAAAGGGGCACTAGCAACTGGGTGAATCAGAAAAGCCTCTTGAAAGAGGTTGCTTGAGCAAAGCTGTGAAAGGGTTTAAGGGCTGTAAAAGTACAAGGAAGGAAGGAGACCACTGTAGGCATGGGATGATAGCTGGAGAAAAGATGTGGGGGCAGAAGATTGAATGTCTCATTCAGCAAGACGTCACATACATGCACTATCATGAAAGGCCAGGAAGAGTGCTGATGTGGCCAAAGTGATGTGGAAGCAGCCTGAAAATACAGGCTGCAGCAATATTGTGAAGGGCTTAGAGAAACCTGATCCACAGGCATCCTCTTGTCTCCAATTCTTTGCTACCACTTAAAAACACATACACACAATATACATATATTATTAGCGTGGTAAATATTTTATTATGTTAATTGAGGATTCCATTGATATACTAATTATATTAAATATTTACATATTAACATAATCTATAATAAAATATAATGATATATTACATATAATGATATACATAATAATATATTAAGAGATAACAAAGAACTGAAACAGTATCTATACATACCTCTACATGCATATATTTTATATATAGACACAGAGAAAATTGGTCTTTGTGCCTTTAGAATAAGACTTACAGAGACGCTGACTACAATAATGTAAACAGAAAGATTTGAAAGTCACGCAAACTCTGATTAATTATGATGACCAGTCTTGACCCCCGAGAACAGATGATGAAACACATGTTCCTCTTCGTGGATTGAGAGGTAGGACACTGAATGTAGATGGGACATGTGCCATCAGATGCAGCTGGTTTTGCTTGTGTTCTTTTCTGTTATAAAGAATGATCTGGAGAGGCATTATGTTGGGAAATGGCTGTTCTGTTAAAAGGTATATATTCCACACACATACACACACACACACACACACACACATACACGCAAGTGTATTTGTATAGAGAGGCAGTGTGATGTAGTGGATGCAGAGTTGTCCTTGGAGCCAGGAAGATCTGAGTTAGAGTCTTGCCTCTGACACATACAGACCTTGATTCGGGGTAAGTCAGGTAAGCTCTCCATGCTCTAGGCAGCTTTCTAAGACTAAGTTACAGAGGGGATGATTTGCATTGGTACAGGAAATTCCTCTTGGGAGCTTAACATGAGTTAAATCACAAGTCCAATCTCTATCCCTGTCTATGTATGTGTACATGCATGTCCACATATGTGTGTGCACACAGAGATATATGTATTCACATATATAGGGATGTGTATAAACACATCCATACAGCCATGTATATGCACAGAAAGAACTAATGCTTCAAGGAAAAGTATAAGGAAGAAGAAAATGAGGGAATGTGTCAGAGGCCCCTGAACATGTGTAATGTCATGTCCTCTACTCAGCATCTTTACAAAATAAAAGCAACACACAATTTTTAAAATTGTCAAGATGCTTGGAAACAATTTAAGAAAGATACAAGCTGAATGTAAAATTTATTGCTGCAGATAAAAGTTATTTTAGAATTTTAGAATTACGTTACATTTCTCCCCACCAGTACTTTCCCCAAAGATTGGAGTGAGCTTTGGCTTCAAGGTCAAGATCAGGGTCATCTCCAGTACTTTGCCCTCAGGTCCACTCTAAAAGCCACTTGAGGTTTAGAAAATTATCTAGAGACAGCCCCACCCATCTTTCCTCACTTTTAGCTGAACTCCCAAAGGTTGGTTATATCAGTTCATCCCTCTTCACTATATCCTTCACACTTCTGCCAGAGCTATCTTGATAAAGCTCTGTTGGGATAGTGACTTCTCTATTCAGAACCCTTTTATGGCTTCTCATTTCCTAGCAAGTTATGTATAAATACAATGGCATTCAGAGTCATTCTGCAAGATGACTTTAACCTGATTTCCAATGCTTATCTCAGGCTACTCCCTTTTTCTATTCTATATTCTAGGCAAACTCTTTCCTTGTGCTCTCCTTTTTACATGCCTTTCCTCATACCTGTCACTAGAGTGTATGTCATCCTAGCAGCAATTGATAAGTGATGATGGTGCCATCCAGATATGAGTGTTTGTATTGGGGGAAGGTGTCACATACATATGCACACCCATGGAATGATAATGGCTTTGGGGTTCAATCCTTACCCCCTCAGGAATGTTCTGGGATAAAGGAGATGTTCTCCCTAAATTGCACTAATCAAGGAGTTAGCTTGACAACCAATTGGATGTACTGGTTGAAAATGTAAGCACATTTGGATCTATGCGTGGTATAGACAGATCCTGAGAGCTAAGACTGAGGCTAGCTTTCCTGCTAGATCAAATATCTCACCTAGGCACTTAGCTAACAAATAGGAAAAGCTGACTGATTCCCAAAGGAAGTTTCTGTTCCAGTCAGCAGTGGGACTGGGCCCATGAATCACTGTTGCACTTCCAGCCTGGGTGAGATAGAAAAAGCCAGTCTCTTTAAAAAATAAAATTAAATTAAAAACTGAAGAAAGTACAGGAGAAAACTTTGAAAATAACGTTGAATTAAACACCTTTTAAGAGTACATAATGGAAGTATAATGCTCTATGTTGTACTTTGTATACAGCAGGGGTGGATCTATGAAGTATGGATGGCTTCAGTTAAAGGGCCACACTTGAGGACCTAGAAGGCCACATATGGCCTTGATGTTGAAGTTCCCCACTCCTGGTATATAGTTATTTTTTATTCAATGTCCATTAACTTCTCAATAAAACAGTTAAAAGATCACTAACAAAGTGAGAGCATGGAGTGTAAGCTAAACCTGTCAGCATTGTGATTTGACAGCTAAAAAAGGTTGTTTTTTTATACACCAAACTTGTGATTTTATTGGTATATTTCCCTTGAGGAAACTACCACCACTATTAATTGTCAGTCAGAATTTTAGAGTTGCCTGCAAACTTAAGCTTCATTAAGAGGGAGATAGCATCCAAAATGAGGTATGTACTAATCACATTGTGCTTTTCTCCAATTAGACATCTGAAATATTGTGTTACATTATGGATGCCACATTTTGGGAAGGATGTTGACAGAATGAGACCTGTCTAGAAGAGGGTACCAGGAGGCTGAAAAAATCGGAGATCTTGCTATGTAAAGTTTTGTTGAGGGGTAGCTAGGTGGCGCAGTGGATAGAACACCATCCCTGGACTCAGGAGGACTTGAGTTCAAATCTGGCCTCAGACACATAACACTTACTAGCTGTGTGACCCTGAGCAAGTCACTTAACCCCATTGCCCAGCTTAAAAACAAAACAAAACAAACAAAAGAAAAGTTTTGTTGAAAGAACTGTGTGTATGGTTAGTCTTTCATGAAAAGAGAATGCTTACAGGAGTCATAGTAGCTAGTTTCCAGGTATTTGAATTGCTCTCTTGTGGATATGATTTTCTTCCCCTGCAGATGGCAGAATTAAGAGGCATGGGTGGAAGCACTGAAGCTAAGATGGAGCAGAATTAGAATTGCCTAATTTGAAAATTAAAACATCTTGATTGAAAAATCCATTTTTTTTCAGCTTTTGCAAAACTAAAGCCAATGCAGCCAAGATTAGAAGGAAATCGGAGAACTGGGAAACAATTATTACAGCCAGTAACTCTAATAAAGACCTCATTTGTACAATATATAGAGAACAGAGTCAAATTTATAAGGATACAAGTGATTTCCCAGTTGATAAGTAGTCAAAGGATATGAGCAGGCAGTTTTCAAATCAGAAAATTAAAACTGTATACTCATATGAAAAAAATGCTCTAAATCACTATTGATTAGAGGAATGCCAATTAAAACAACTCTGAGGTAGCACCTCACACCTATCCAATTGGCTAATATGAGAAAAAAGGAAAATGATAAATATTGGAGAAGATGTGGGGAAATTGAAACACTGATGCATTGTTGGTGGAGTTGTGAACCGATCTAAATATTCTAGAGAGCAATTTGGAACTATGCCCAAAGGGCAACCAAACTATACATACCCTTTGATCCAGTAATATCACTACTAGGTCGATATCCCAAAGAGATCATAAAAAAGGGAAAACGATCCACATGCACAAAGATATTTACAGCAGCTCTTTTTGTGGTGGCAAAGAATTGGAAATTGAGAAGATGCCCATCAATTGGGGAATGGCTGAACAAGTTGTGGTATATGAATGTAATGGAATACTGGTGTGCTATAAGAAATGATGAGCAGGCAGACTTCAGAAAAACCTGGAAGGACTTGTATGGACTGCTGCTGAGTGAAGTGAGCAGAATGAGAACATGGCAGCAGCTACATTGTGAGATGAGCAACTTTGATAGACTTAGCTCTTTTCAGCAATACAGTGATCTAAGACAAATCCAAAAGACTCATAATGGAAAATGCTGTCCACATCCAGAGAAAGAACTATGGAGTCTGAATGCCGATCAGAGCATACAATTTTCTTTTTTTTCCTTTCTTGTGGTTTTTCCCTTTTCCCTGATTCTTCTTTCGCAACATGACTAATTTGGAAATATGTTTAATATGATTGTACATGTATAGCCTATATCAAAATGCTTGCCATCTTGGGGAGCAGGAAGGGAAATAATTGGAACTCAAAATCTTACAAAAATGAATGTGGAAAACTATCTTTAAATGGAATTGGAAAAAATAAAATTTTACTATTAAGTGGAAAAATCCATTTTTTCCTTTCAATTTGTCTTCATTGGGTAGGATTTTTATTGCATTGATCATTCAAAAATATATTTAATGTTTCTACTTACTTTTTGCAATCATGAGGTGAATTTTAGTGTATGGTCATAGAAGGAATCTCAGAATTGCTTTGAAGTAAACTTAAATTTCTAGTGATTTAGAATATTTTTTCATGTGGTTTTAGCTAGCTTTTTTTTTCCCTTTGAGAGCTGACCATTCACTCCCTTTGGCAATTTGTCAGTGGAGAAATACTTGTTCAAAATTTGAATCAATTCCTTATGTACCTTAGAAAGGAAAGCTTTTTCAGAGAAATTTGTTGCCAGGATTTTTCCCAGTTATCTCCTTTTTTAAGTTTAGAGTTAGTTTTGATTGTACATACATTTAAATTTTATGTGTTCAAATCATTCAAATTCAAAATAATTTATTTTGCTTTTTGTGAATCTCTCTCTTGTTTGCTCAGAACTCTTCTAGTTTTCATAAATCTAAACCTAAAGGTCCCAGAAGACAATAGGAAGAATTGAGTGAGTCAAAAGAGAACAGCAACTGAGAATAGGCTAGGTGGACTCACTTCTGGCTCAGGTGAATCCAGCTCCTGCTTCTTGCATGTCCCTGAGTGGGGACATTCTTCACAGACTTTCCCTGCACTTTGGCAGTCTCAGGCTGTGCCATGGAGGGCCTAGAGTGTCACTTTCTGGTAGGTCCTGGCCTTCTTGCCCATTTCCCAGAGTATTCAGTGGTCAACTGCTCTTCCCCACACTGAATGAGATTCAGAGTGGCAGTAACAGAATTGTAGAGTGTTAAGGAGCTACTTTATGAGAGAACAAGTTGAAGCAACAATAATTATCCTGAGTGGTTCTATTGACTACTGAACTGGATTTAGGTCACTTATCTAGGACCAGTGGGAAGGCCTAGAGAAGTAACTTCCTGAAGCTGCTTAATTAATTTATATATATAAATTAACATATAAATATAATTAATGTATAATTATTTACATACATAATTTGTAATTATTGAATATTATTAATCACATGTAATTAATGTAATTATTTATATTATACATTCATTATATAATATATAATTATATATGTGTATCTAATTATATCATGTTTAATCATGTATAAAATTAAAAAGATAAATAATAATATAATTAAATTTATTATTTATCATAATGAAGGTTTATTAAGAGACCAAGCTCAAGAATTCATCACCTGTGTCCTCTGACTTCATGGTAAAAATAGTTGTTCATCCCAAAATATTAACCTGTGATGTGTATCTCTTGGCCCCTCCCCCAAATCAAGAAACCAAAAGATCCATTCTTCATACAAAATCACGGGAAGGCCTCCCGTAAAAAGACGAACATAAAATGATCTTACTGAAATAATTGTGGAGCTATTTTCCACTGAGAGGGGCAGTACCTAATTAGTTGAGCACAGGTTAAATGCCTTATTTAACAGTAACAAACATAATGTATGTAATTGAGGGCATGATCTTGGTTTGGCAGCCCTGGTATAAAACTTCCCAGGATTAAACAGATAATAAAATCAGAAGAGGCCCAGAAAAGCCATGCAAAGGGAGAGAATTTTCTTATGCCTCCCAACCACAGCTTAACCTTTAAATAGCTACTGCCTTGATCCTGTGTAGGTAGTTAGTGTCTCATTGGATGCTGTGGTTCACACAGAATCCTGTGTAGGCTGAGAGTTAGTTGCTAAGGTTCAGAGGAAGTTAAATGACTTGCACAAGATCACATAGTAAGTAGCAGACCTGGGATTCAAACTCAAATTCTGATTACAAATCTCTACTCTTTCCACTACACTGATTGAACTTGATTTGCCTGTGCCACAGTTTCTCCCAATATAGTCCATATACATTGAACTCAGCATATTTTTTGAACAAAGACTTTTGTGAAGGAACATACTTAATTGAGTAATCTGTCAAGATGTGTTAACACCAGTCAAAAGAGCCTCAAATTTACAAAGGATCTTGGGAATTATGAGAGAAGGCTTGCATTCCCAGAGAAGGAACCTTTGTAATAGAAGTAGCTTGCAATATGGCATCAGAAAGGTATTTTACCTGAAGGTCACCCTGACAACCTATAATGAATGGCTCAGTAAATGCCCCAAAGCAAAGTGTCCCCCCTGAACCCTGTGGTGTTGACTTGTTATACTGGCATTTCCCCAGCATAAGAAACCTGCATGCATTACTTATTTCTGTGATGAAGCAGATTCTAAAAACTTGGTCAGGAATGACAAAAATTTCAGAGTCCTTAATGATTTATTGGTAGCTTTTGAAAACTTTTTATTCCATTTAGACAATCTGAATTTGGCATGTTTTTCCATCATTACAAATATTGAATCATTACAAATCTCAGTCATTACACAATCTCTCACATAATTAGTAGGCAACTCAAAGAGAACATCCTATAGGAATTAACTGTGACAATTAGTAAAGGCACAAAATGCACTTTTATCTTTCTTTCTAAATGCAAATTTTTAAATCAAATCCAAGATATGAATACTCAAGTATTACTAGAATAGATTCATAAATTTAGGTTCCCACTTTTCAACCTTTTTCTCTGACAGAAACTGTCCATGAGGTTCTGTGACACCTGGAGGTAAAAGAGCCAAATAAACTGGGGTTTCAGCTCCTTCCTCTACACTTTTGGGAGCCTTGGGTCCCGCCATGTCAGTTCTCAGCCATCCTGGGCAGCAGGCATTCAGAAGAATGTTATCAGCTTTCCTCTGCTCATTCAGTTGCCTGGCATGGATTCTTGACAAGACAGTGACTCCAATCTTGGACACTCCGTAAGCAGTGTTAGGCCAACCTTCCTTCTCATGCACTCCCTTCTTTGTATCTTCCACAAACTTATTCATGAGCCCCACCAACTCTTATTCTGTGATTGTGTCACTCAGAAACTTCTGCTGTAGTTCAGGGCTGCAGTTTTTAAGAGCATTAAAACTCTGGAAGCTAGTGACATTCATCACTCTACCTGCAATAAAACATATGGAGACATCTTTTGTCATATTATTCTTACAACCGTTCTTTGAAAGAATTCAAAATTCATATTTATTTCTTCATTAATTTTCATGACGTGAGATGCGTGTATATTTTTAATAGCTGAGGACGCAACTCTTTTCTGTGTAGGACGGAGAACTATTGTTTGTCCACACATCTAAAAATCATTTTGCAAAGGAATAATAAATGAAATGAATGGGAAAAAAACATAAAATGCTCTCTATGCGCCAGGTACAGTGCTAAATTTGAATATATGAACATAGATGGCAATGTTTCATGGAAGAATTGAACCTGTCCATCAATATTTAATCAATTTTTAATTAAACACTCTTCTGATACAATGAGAGGAAATTTCCAGTCAAACTGATTATGCTATCACAAAATTGATCCATATGCCTTATAGTCCTTAGCCCTATTAACATATATTCACATCTATCTTTAAAATGTAATAAGCAAAATGGATCCTCTTGATTGACAGCTGTCACTTGTTTAAAATACATAGGTTATACTAAGTAGAAATAAGAGAAGGCACCCTCCTAAAAAGTCCTTATGATGGCTTATAAAAACATTAACTGATACCTGGGGGCTTCCCAGTAGTTGACACTGAAACTCTACCTGGTAGAACTGGTAGTTCTGAGGTTAGATTATTCTCCCTATAGAGAATCCCAGCCAAATCATGCAGTTTTCGTTATTGCTTTTCCAGGGCTTAGCTGGGATTCTCTACAGGGAAAATAACCTAGCTTGTGAACAAATCTGTGGAGGAATTTGAATTAAAAGTCACTAGGTCAATCAATGGTGATACCTTGGTAGTAGCCATGAAGTCTAATTTTTTAAAAATGTTATTCTTTGTATTCCAGGAAGACAAGACATTTAATTTTTAAAATTACTATAATCAACAAGAAACAGAAAATGAGAAGGCATAAATGGATTGCGATCTATAATGCTGGAAGTCATACCCAAATGGATGAAATCACAGGTCCACTAGCCATTTGTGTCTAATGGATTTGTGATCCAACTGCTTCAGAAGTTCCCTCCCACAAACACCCTAGCCATCCCCTGCATTACCCTTATTCATGTCCTCCTATATGTTTGGCAGGGATGGGGGGTGGGGAGAGTCTTCGGATTTTGCTGGAAACCTTCCTCATTTTCCCCTGACATCACTCTGGCTGTTTACCTGTCATCCTTTGCTATCACCACATGACTAGCCCATCTTCTCTGCTTATCACGTACATGCTCTTTTACCATTCTCTGGAGTTCCTCATTGGTTTTATGTTGCAGATTGCTAATATCCACCAGGAGCTTCTCTACTGCCTTCCAGTGAGTAATACTTTTTTAATCCTTTAGAGACTGCTGGATTCTATGACTTATTGCCATGTAACAACAATTGCAAAACGTTGTTATACAAAAATGGGTGTCTGCTTTCATGGGAAACTTGTGGTCACTGAAAGAGCTCTGTAATTTCTCAAAGGCATCCCAGCCTGCTCTTTTCCTCCTTTTAACTTAGGGCCTGACCTTATATTGATCTTTCTCTATCTCTATCTGAGACAGGCAATTCAGATGTATTCTCAGGTCATGAGTTAAACAGGAAAAAAGATCAGGCTAGAGTGCCTTGAGAAAATTTGCGTTTGTCCATATATATGTATACAGATGCATATAACTTTTGTATGGGCTATATATGTATATACATGTATACACATACATACATATATGTATGTGTATATATGTATACACATACATATATACACATACATACATATATGTATGTGTATATATGTATACACATACATATATGTATTTATGTATATATGGACAAATACTCGATTCCTTGAAAGATGTCACAACAAAAATTATATAAACCTTTTTAATGACCTTATCATAAACATTAGGTGAAGTGTAAAAAGGGAGAGGTATCCTATGATAATGGAGATCAGCATAGAGTTCAAGTTGATGAGAGAATCTCTAGATATTTCTGTGGGTGATATTGTGCTGATTGCCTTAAAACATTTACAAGCTTCCTGAAACTGATCTATGACTACTCAAAAGTGTTAGTCTGACCAACCATAGCAGAAAGATAAAGATAGTTAAAATAATTTTTGCAAGTTTTTGTTCTACTCTTTTCATCCTTAAATATCCTTGGGTTGACTTTTCATAGTTTTATATTTTATGAAACTTTCTTTTTATTTGTTTTTTGTTTGTCTTTTGTGACTCAATCAGGGTTAAGTGACTTGCCCAGGGTCACACAGCTAACCAAGCTTTCTTCAAACTGTTTTTATACCTCCTTCTTCAGGAGATGACAAGGCTCATAATTATTCTGTAGCTTTCCTCAAAAGAATTTACAAATGAGTTTATATTCTAAGTCAGTGTGCTCTTTGATGGTCATTCCTTAAGGAGCTTTCTCAGCTCTTTTCACTTCCTTGTTGTGTCAATTAATTGACACTGGTTAAGCATCTAGGTAGATAAAATTATTTTACTCAGGGTTGATATAATTCCTCCTGTCCATTTCCAATTTTAGATTGTCAACTACTTGTTTAGGAAAAATCTGGTTCAATTATACACCATGCATTTCTCATCATCTTCATCATTATTATTGTTAACTAATTCTGATTTTAATTGTGATGAGTTGATGATCTGACTATACAGAGAATCTGATTCTGGGGTAATTCCCACTCAGTGAATACCACATCCAGTTTACAAAGGTATGAGGCTTCTGTGTAGTGTACAAGTCTTTGGCTTTGGCATCTAGAAATAGGGAAGGGATCAGTTCAATGTTGTGTTATGGCGAGGGTGGGGGCAGTGTGTGTGTGTGGGATGTACACAGGACCCACTTTGAAGTGTATCTACATTATTAATATTTTCTCCATCACCTTCTTAAATCTAGAAAATCCACAATAAATCAAACTCTGATTTGTAACATTTGCTGATTTGCAAGGTATAAATGTTTATGATGGAAATTTAACAATCAGCTTGGGTTCAAACTGGTTCCAGAACAGCCCTATACACCCCTGGCAACCTGTATTGTTTGCAACTTTTGGCCTACTGCTATTTTGATTATTTGACTCTCTCTCTGGAGAATCAGAAAATTAAGCCATCTGATTATCTCAAATATCACTGGCCTGCAGAAAGAAGATAATCTGTACAATAATGCTCTATCATCCAGGTAAAGATAAATGTTTAAGAAGTTCAAGCATTTCTTACTCCAAAGACTGCCTGAACTCATCTGAATGGAGGTCAGCTTCCTTAAACATTTACACTATGCTTCAATAGTTGCCTTATTTTAATGACCAGTATTTTTTTCTGTTACATATTTTTTTTTTAAATTGCTCTTTTTCTAACTGTATGCTTCCTTTACCTAAAGTATATGCCAAATCTATGAAAAGTGAGTGGGCTCTTCTGGTAGGGAATGCAACTTTAATGACAAATATTCTCTTTCCTCCTGGGAATCTAAGGACTACAAGCAGGCTTCCTTCAATGCACTATGTAAAAAACAAGTGATGTATTTAAGACTCTGTTGGTAGGATGGATGGTTACAGTTTCATTAATCAACCAGGAGATCTCATTCAGAAAAAAAAAAAGGAACTTCCTCTGCAGGTGATGGAGGTGTCTCAAGCTGTATTTTCCAAAGAATTTAAAATTAAATTTGTCTCCTTTTGGAATAAATTATGTTTTAGGTTTCTATGGGAGGAAAAACTATTCCTGAATTCTACTGTTGGGGAGGAGTCCTGACAGAGAGGTATTTTTATTCTTCTTCCATTCCCCCCCCTCTTTTTTTCGAGTCATACTTTATATGACTCATGTAAAAGAAACCTAAGGTTTCCCAATTTCCCTGAACAAAAAGGATACGTCTTATGTAGCTCAGAAATAGAGATTAGGAGTCATGTTAGAGATTATCAAGTCTAATTTCTTCTTTTTTATAACTATCAGAGTAATGGCCCAGAAAAACAAGGGATAATCAGAAAAGGCAACATTGTTAGAATTTGAGTCAGAACTCAGATATTTTGTTTAGTACTAAATGATGGATAATTCCAGATTTGTCCTCCTGGCATAAACATGGTTAATACTTTTTTATTCTAAATAGTGAATTTACCTTGGGGTTTCATCAGAGGCAATAATTCTGCAGATACAGCTCTGGTGCCAAAAAAGTTGGTTTGCAGTGTCACCTCAGCTTGAATAGGAAAGCATGCGGTATCAGCCTCTAAAAGGAAGAGGGGGAGGGGAAGAAAGAGAAGAAAATGGAGCATAAGTTAAACAGTAATCAAACTGAACACTTGTAGCAAAGAAATTTATGTAACTTTAAAAGAAGGGAGGTGAGTATTTATATAGTTCCTACTATGTGACACACACATAACATTACCTACCCAAAATCCTCTGGGGAATTTGACATCTTGTGTAATTCAGAAATGTGAGAGTTACATCAAGAAGCTTTGTTAATTACAAATATTCAACAACTTCAATTCAACAAGCATTTATTGAAGAAACTTTATGTGCAAACAACACCAGTGGGGATAGAACACAGACAAAAGTAATTGCACGTGCTCAGATGCCAGCACTCTATAACACTTACACCAGTAGATTAATAGGAGATATAACCAAAATGATAGAAAGAAATTTCTCCAGGTAGGGTGAAATAAGATGGATCGGTGGATAGAACGCGTGTTTGGAATTAGGAGGATCCAAGCTGAAGTTCGACCCCAGACACTTACTACCCTGTGACCTCCAGCAAGTCACTTAACCTGTTTGCCTTAATCCACTGGTTCTCCAAGGAATGGCAAACCACTCCAATATTTTTACAGAGAAAACCTCAGGAAGAGTGGAATACGAATGAACAACACCAGAAGGCATTAACAACCTGTAGCTATTTTTTACCCCTGGAGTGAGGAGTTCTGTATTTTACAATGAGCACAGTCAATTTTAGTGATTTTCATTTGCACGCACAGTCATTCCCAAGTTCGTACCTTTGAAGAGTATTCCAGCATCGTTCACCAGCACATCCACGCCCCCATACCGCTCCTTGAGAAATTCCCGCAGGGTCCGAATGCTCTGCTGGTCGTTGATGTCCAGCTGGTGGAAAACAGGGTTCAGTCCCTCCTCCTTCAGCTTCTTCACCGCTTCCTGGCCCAGGGTCGGATTCCTGGCGGTGAGAATCACGTCCCCGGGTAATTTCTTGCACAGATCGAGCACGATGGCCAAGCCGATCCCCTTGTCACTCCCGGTCACCACGGCCACTCGGCTGCTGGAAGACATGACTTTGGGGCTGTAGAGGGCAGAAAGTGCAAGACACTGAGCCGGGGCTGGTCTGGGGATGCAAGCCAGAGAAGGTGGCTGGGCTGCACTAGAGAGAGTGCGGAGATGTTTGAGCTGCAGTTTGTGGCTGGCACTGGTTATAAAGCCCATACTCTGGCGCGGCACCTCCCCTACTCTTTAGGACTACCTGTTGAGGGTGAATACGTGACTTCTCAGGTGCTCTCTTCCACTCTCCTACATGTGCCAGTCTCTTTCCACTAAGGTAGAGCAGTCAGCCAGTCCCAGGTTCCTAAATTCCAAGAGGAATGCACGGGGAGGGGAACAAAACAGAAAAAAACCAAACCCCAGACCTTTAAGAGGGTTGATGCATTTTCTTTTGTCTCCCTCTGTAGCTCTTTGGGTAATTATTTAGCTCATAAGTGTTTGTTTTCCCCTAATTTGTTTCTCTTAAATCTCCACTAGGTTCTGCCTAATGAGCCGCTAAAAGTCTTAGTTCAATGCACCCAGGTGTGATAGTAGAGCGGAAAGGCAAATATTTGGAAAGTGTCCAAGATACTCCCAAGTTCCAAAGAATTAGTGGGAAGTATCTGAGAAAATTTATCTCTACAATAGGTTATCAGTTTAAGCTGTGAGAATTTGTGGGTAGAAAAACTAAAGCTTCTTCAAATGTCTGTAGATATTCTAAGGAGTATGCACCAAGAAACCGCCTGACCTGCCCAGCCTTATTTCCTCTTTCTCTGTGGGGTGTGACTTTTTGCTGGATGTAAGATTCCTTTGATTATGTATGTTTTGGATCTTCTGTTGTTTACAAAAACATCACCCCTTCAGGAAGCATTGATTAAGCACTTGCCCTGTTTCAGTCTCTATATCTAGTGCTGAAAGAACAAATATGAAAGTAGGGTAGTCTCCGCCCTCAGGGAGAGCACTTTTTCCTGGTGGAATAGAAGATGTTCAGAGATAAATAAATATTCGATTTATACAAAATAAATACACATATATGTGGGGAGTGACAGGAAAGGGGCACTAACAACTGGGGGAATCAGAAAAAGGTGATTTGGGGCAGCTTGGTGGTGAGGTGGATAGAGCATTGGTCCTGGAGTCAGGAGGACCTGAGTTCAAATGTGACCTCAGACACTTGAGACTTACTAGCTGTGTAACACTGGGCAAGTCACTTAACCCTAATTGCCTTGGGAAAAAAAGAAAGAAAGAAAGAAAGAAAGAAAGAAAGAAAGAAAGAAAGAAAGAAAGAAAGAAAGAAAGAAAGAAAGAAAGAAAGAAAGAAAGAAAGAAAGAAAGAAAGAAAGAAAGAAGTGGCTTGAGCAGAGCCTTGAAGGTGTTTAGAGGTTGCAAAAGTACAAGGAAGTAAGACCATTCTAGGCATTGGATAAAAGCCAGGGAAAAGATGTGGAGGCAGAAGATTGAATATCCCATTCAGCAACATGTCACATACATGCACTATCATGAAAGCCCAGGACTGATATGGCCAGAATAACATGGAATCAGCCTGGAAACACAGGATGGAGCAACATTGTGAAGGGCTTAAAGAAACCTGATCCACAGACATCCACATGTTATTGATATGGTCTAGTGAGGTATCATGTTGAGAAATAACTGTTATAGTAAAAGATATGTATTGCACACACACACACACACACACACACAAATACGTGTATATGCAGAGAGAGGCAGTGTGATGTAGTGGATGGAGAACTTCAATGAGATTCAGGGATAAGGGAGAGGTTCTCCCTCACTTGCACTAATCAAGGAGTTAGCTTGACAACCAATTGGATGTATAGGTTGAAAATGAAAGCACACTTGGATGTATGCATGGTATAGACAGATCCTGCTAGCTCTCCTGCTTGAAATTGTTCTTGGGGTTCTCTAGACCCCTAACTCACAAATGGGAAGGCCTGACTGATTCCCAAAGGCAGTTTCTGTTACAGTCAGCGGTGGAATCAGGCCCATGAATCACTGTTGCACTGCCAGCCTGGGTGAGATAGAAAAAGCCAATCTCTTTAAAAAAAGAAGAAGAAGAAGAAGAAGAATATAAAACTGAACAAAGTCCAGGGAAAAATGTAGGCAAGAAAACTTTGAAAGAAACATTGCATTAAATATATTTTTTAAAAATGATGCCGTACAAAATGAAAGGATAATCCTCTATGTTGTACTTCGAGGATGGCTGTTTTTTTCAATGTCCATTAACTTCTGAGTAAAAAAGTTAAAAGATCACCAACAAAGAGAGAGCATGGAATGCAAGCTAAACATGTCAGCATTGTGATTTGGCAGCTGAAAAAAAAGCTAGTCTATATTTTTAAAAATACCCAAACTTGTGATTTTATTGGTATATTACCCTTGAGGAAACTGCTAACCACTACAAATCCATCTCCCGCTCTATAACTTAACATTTTAGAGAGCGCCTGCAAACTTAAGTTGCATTGAGAGGGAGAGCTTCCAAAATGAGGTATATATTGATCACACTGTGCTTTTCCCTGATTAGATATCTGGAATATTGTATTAAATTATGGATGCCACATTTTAGGAAGGATGTTGACAGAATGAAGAGGTTACCAGGATGGCGAAAAAATTAGAGATCATGCCAAGTGAAGATTGGTTGAAGAAACTGCGTATGGTTAGCCTGTTAGGAAAGGTGAATCTTTTTTTAAATTTTAATTAATTAATTTTTAGTTTTCAACAATCACTTCCATAAGCTTTTGAGTTTTAAATTTTCTTCCCTTCTCTCCCAGGCTCCCTCTCCAAGATGGCACTCAATTTGAGATAGGCTTTACATATACATTCCTATTAAACATATTTTCACATTAGCAATGTTGTAAAGAAGAATTAGAACCAATAGGAGGAACCACAAGAAAGAAGAAATAAAACAAAAGAGAAGGGAAAAAAAAGAGCAGATAGTATGCATTGATCTGCATTCAAACTCCATAGTTCTTTCTGTGGATGTGGGTAACATTTTCTATCATGAGACTTTTGAAGATATCTTAGATCCTTGCCTTGCTGAGAAAAGTTAAGTCTATCAAAGTTAGTCATCTCACAATTGGCTGTTACTGTGTACAACATTCTCCTGGTTCTGCTCATTTCACTCAGCATCAGTCCATACACATCTTTCCAGGTTTTTCTGATGTTTGCCTGCTCATCATTTCATATAGAACAATAGTATTCCATTGCATTCATATACCTCAACTTGTTCAGCCATTCCCCAGTTGATGGGCATCCCCTCAATTTCCAATTCTTGGCCATCACAAAAAGAGTTGCTATAAATATTTTTGTACATGTGGATCATTTCCCCTTTTTTATGATCTCTTTGGGATACAGCCCTAGAAGTGATATTGCTGGGCGAAAGGACATGCATAGCTTCCTTGTCCTTTGAGCATAGCTGCAAAGTGCTCTCCAAAATGGTTGAATCAGTTCACAACTCCACCAACAATGCATTAGTGTTCCAATTTTCCTACACTTTCTCCAACATTTGTCATTTTCCCATTGTGTCACGTTAGCTAATCTGATAGGTGTGATGTGGTACCTCAGAATTGTTTTGATTTGCATTTCTCTAAACAATAGTGATTTCCAAATAGCATTTGGAAAAGTGAATCCTTAGGGAAGACATACTAGCTGGTTTCCAAGTATTTGAAGTGCTATCTTGTGGATGATTTTATTTCCCTGCAGATGACAGAATTAAGAGAAATGGGGCACTGAATGTTAGATGGAGCAGAATTAGAATTGCCTGATTTGATCCTCGAAAAATTGGGGATTGAAAAATCCGTTTTTTCCTTTTAATGTTTCTTTATTGGGTATGGTTTTTATTGCATTGTGGACATTCAAAAAGGTACTCAACATTTCTGCTTTTTTTGCATTCATGAGGATTTCATGCTTTAGTATATGGTCATAGAATCTCAGAGTTGCTTTGAAGTAAACTTTAATTTCCAGTGATTTGGAGCGTTTTTTCACATGGTCCTAGCTAGCTCGATTTTTTTTCCTCTTTGAGAGCTGACTATTTTTCAACTGAAGAATGACTTGTTCAAAATTTGAATCAATTCCTTATATACCTTAGAAAGGAAAGCTTTATCAGAGAAATTTGCTGCCAGGATTTTCTCCAGTTATCTCCTCTTTTAATTTTAGATGAGTTGGTTTTGATTGTACATACACTTTTTAATTTTGTGTATTCAAAATCATTCATTTTATTTTTGGTGAACCTCTCACTTGTTTGCATATTAGATCTTCTAGTATTCATAAATCCAAGCTTGTTCATATTGTTTATTTCCTCTCAGTCTGTCTCCCCAAGCTGACCTGGAAAAATGACTTACTGTGATTTCTTAAAAAAAATTCCTGATTAGAATTTGGTCTGATATTCTTTTATAGATCTTTGTAGAGTTGTGGTGAGGAAGCTGGACTTTCCTTTTTCCTGCTTTTCTGTTATCTGTCTCTAATTTTTAATTCTTTCTTCAGTTTTCCTTCATTGGATATAATTTTTATTGCAGTGTGGTCATTCAAAGGTGTTTAATATTTCTCCCTTTTTGCATTCATGAGGTTTTTATGCCCTACAACATGGACAATCTTAGTGAAGGTACCATTCACAATTGTGGTCATTAAAAAATGCATTTAATGTTTCTACTTATTTTTGCATTCATGAAGTGAATTTTTGCATATGGTCATAGAGGGAACCTCAGAATTGCTTTGAAGTAAACTTCGATTTCTAGTGATTTGGAGCATGTTTTCATGTGGTTTTAACCATCTTTTTTTTCCCCCTTTGAGACCTGACCATTCACTCCCTTTGGCAATTTGTCAGTGGAGAAAGACTTGTTCAAAATTTGAATCAATTTCTTATATACCTTAGACAGGAAAGCTTTATCAGAGAAATTTGCTGCCAGGATTTTCCCCAGTTATCTCCTTCTCTTTTGAGTTTAGAGGAGATGGTTTTGATTGTACATACAATTTTAAATTTTATGTATTCAAATCATTCAAATTCAAAATAATTTATTTTGCTTTTTGTGAATCTCTCTCTTGTTTGCTCAGAAGCTCTTCTAGTTTTCATAAATCTGAACCTAAAGGTCCCAGAAGACAATAGGAAGAATTCAGTGAGTCAAGGGAGAACAGCATCTGGGAATAGGTTAGGTGGACTCTTAGCTGGGCTGAATCCAGCTCCTGCTTCTTGCCTCTCCCTGAGTGGGGACATTCTTCACAGGAGACTTTCCCTGCACTTTGGCAGTCTCAGGCTGTGCAATGGAGGGCTACAATTTCACATTCTGGCAGGTTCTTCTTGAACATTCCCTAGAGCATTTGTTCTTCCCCAGACTGAATGAGGTTCAGAGCGGCAGTAACAGAACTGCAAAGTATTAAGGAGCTGCTTTATGGGAGGACAAATTGAAGCAACAATCATTACCTTGAGTGGCTCTGCTGACTACTGAATTGGATTTAGGTCACTTATCTAGAGGACCTGTGGGAAGGCCTGGAGAAGCAGCTTTATGAAGGTGATAATATAGAGGCTAAGCTCAAAAATTCACTACCTGTGTCCTCTGACTTGCTCATCCCAAAATATTAACCTGTGATCCATTCTCCATATAAAAATCACAGGAAGGCCCCCTGTAAAAAACAAACTGCTAGAAGGAAGATTCGTAATAGAGGTAGCTTGCAATATGGAATCCGAAAGGTATTTTATCTGAAGATCACCCTGATAACCTATAATGAATGGCCCAGTAAATGCCCCAAAGCACAAATGTCCCCCTGAACCCTGTGGTGTTGACTTGTTATACTGGCATTTCCCCAGCATAAGGAGACTGGATGCATTACCTGTGATGAAGCAGATTCTGCATGTGAAACTTGGCTATGAATGACTAAAAATTAAGATTAATTAATAATTTCTTGGTAGCTTTTTGGAAACTTTTATTCTATTGATACAATGTGAATTTTGCATATTTTTCCTCCTTTGCAAATATTCAGTCATTACAAAATCTCTCACTTATGTGAAATGACTGGCTAGCAACTTAAAGTGAACACTTTATAGGAATTAGCTGTGACAATTAGTAAAGGCACAAAATGTACTTTAATTTTTATTTCTTTCTAAATGCATTTTTTGAAATCCAAGATGTGTGATAACTTAAGTATTACTAGAACGGATTCACAAATTAAGCTTCCCATTTTTCAACCTGTTTCTCTGATACAAACTGGCCATGAGGTTCTGTAACATTTGGAGGTAAAAGAGCCAAATAAACTGGGGTTTCAGCTCCTTCATCTGTACTTTTGTGAGCCTTGTGCCCCACCATATTAGATCTCACCCATCCTGGGCAGCAGGCATTCAGAAGAATATTATCACCTTTCCTCTGCTTATTCAGTTGCCTGGCTTGGATTCTTGACAAGACAGTGACTCCAATCTTGGACACTCCGTAAGCAGTGTTAGGCCAGCCTTCCTTCTCACGCACTCCCTTCTTTGCATCTTCCACAAACTTGTTCATGAGCCCCACCAACCCTTCCTCTGTGTTTGTGTCACTCAGAAACTTCTGCTGTAGTTCAGGGCTGCAGTTTTTAAGAGAATTTAAACTCTGGAAGCTAGAGACATTCACCACTATACCTGCAATAAAACATATGGAGACATGGCATATTGTTTTTACAAACCGTTCATTGAAAGAATTCAAAGTTTATAGTTATTTCTTCATTAATTTTTATGACATTGTGAGATACGTGTGCATTTCTAATAGTTGAGGATGCCACTTTTTATTTTGCTAGGATGGGGAACTATTGTTTGTTTGTTCACACATCTAAAAATCATTTTGCAAAGGAATAGTAAATGAAATGAATGATAAAAATACATAAAGTGCTTTCTATGTGCCAGGTATAGTGCTAAATTTGTGTATATGAACATAGATGGAAATGTTGTGTAGAAGAACTGAACCTGCCTATCAATATTTGATCAATGTTTAATTAAACACTCTTCTGATACAGTGAGAGGAAATTTCCAGTCAAAGTGATCATAAAATCATGAAATCAATACAAATACCTTGTAGGCCCTAGCCCTATTGAGGTATCTTTGCATATACAAAGACGTCTTTAAAATGGCAATAAGCAAAAATGATTCTCTTGACTGACATTTGACATATCTGGAAGTAAGTTGGTGATACTGAGTAGAAATAAGAGAAGGCACTCCCCAGAAAGTCCTTGTGATGGTCTATAAAAACATTTACTGACACCTGGGCGCTTCTCACTAGTGTACATTGAAGCTCTACTGGTAGAACTGGTAGCTCAGAGGTCAGATTATTCTCCCTGTAGAGAATCCCAGCCAAATGATGCAACTTTCATAATTGTCTTTCTGTGCTTTGGCTGGGATATCTTCAGGGAGAATAACCTAGGCTCTGAACCAATCTGTGAAGGTGTTACAATGCCAAAGTAGTCCTATGGAATTTGAATTAGAAGCCACTAGGTCAATGGTGGTACCTTAACAGTTGCCATGAAGTTTGTGTTTATTTTTTTAAAAAGCTATCCTTTGTATTCTAGGAAGAAAATAAAGACATTTAATTTTTTAAAATTCTGTAACCAACAAGAAACACAGAAAATGAGGAGGCATGAATGGATCACAATCTATAATGCTGGAAGTCATACACAAGGGGATGAGATCACAGGTCCACTAGCAATTTTTGTCAAATGGATCTGTGATCCAACTGCTTCAGAAGTTCCCTCCAACAAACATCCTAGCCATTCCCCACATTAACCTTATTCATGTCCTCCCATATGTTTGGCAGGGATGGGGGGTTGGGAGAGTCTTCGGATTTTGCTGGAAACCTTCCTCATTTTCTGCTGACATCACTGTGGCTATTTATCTGTCATCCCTTGCTCTCACCACATGACTGGTTCATTTTCTCTGCTTATCCCATATGTGCTCTTTCACAGATCTCTGGAGTTCCTCACTGGTTTTATGTTGCAGACTGCTAATACTCACAAGGAGCCCCTCTACTACCTTGCATGAAATAATAAGTTTTTAATTCTTTAGAGACTGCTAGATTCTATGACTTTTTGATATACAGCAGCAATGGTAAAATATTGGTATTATAAAATGGATGTCTGCTTTCATGGGAAGCTTGTAGTCACTAAAGGAGCTCTGTAATTTCTCAAAGGTGTCCCAAGCCTGTTCCTTTCCTCCTATTTAACTTAGGGACTGACAGTGTACAAATCTCTGTATATTTCTATCTGAGACAGACAATTCAGGAGTACTGTCCTTCCCACTGTTCCTAGCATAGGTGCTAAAAGAGAAAAAAAATCTGTTGAACAAATGACACTGATGCATGGTAGATTAGTAGGTCAGCCTATAGTGTTACATAGAGGAAAAATAAGAAAAGGAATCAGAAATTTCATTTTTGTTACAATTATCCTTAGATAACCATTCTCTGGGGTAGAGTAAAATAAACATTTAAGTATACAAAGGTATTTTTGTAAAAACAACAAACTCTCAAGGTTCTTAATATCCTGTTTAAAGGTAATACAGTCTGACGTAGCTTTTGGGAAAGTATATTTCAAAGAGTTGAGATAAAAGAAATGTAGGCTTCCATGGACTAGAGCAATGGGTGGAAGCAGTGAAGCTAAGATGAAATAGAATTAGAATTGCCTAATTTGAAAATCAAAACATCTTGATTGAAAATTCCATTTTTTTCTTTCAGTGTTTCTTTATTGGGTTAGGAGTTTACTTCCATCTGTTTGCTGTTCCTCTCAATCAGTGGGATAACACCATTTCAATTAAATTGTGAAGTGTTTAAAATAGGAAGCAAGTTATCTAAATCCAATTGTGTTTTTCTTTAACATTGATCTAATAGTAGGTGGAAACACAGTTCATGTCAGAATGCTACATAAAGGAAGTAATTAGTCACTGAGGCAGGCATTTATTAAGTGCAAAAGACTGACTGCCAAACAGAGCATTTTGTAATTGATCCTGGAGGTGATGAAGTCATTGGAGTTTATTGAATGAGGGCTGGTTAGGGGGAGGAGGAGGTGATATAGTCAAATCCGGACTTTAGGAAAATCACTTTGGCATGGATGGAAGAAGGATTGGATTGGAGAGAGATGAGGCAGGCAGACCCAACAGCTATTGTAGTAGTCCAAATGTAAAGTGATAAGGGCCTGCACCAGGGTGGTGGCAATATCAGGATACAAGGAGGGGTTTTGAAGAGATGTGACAAAGTTGAAATCATCAGGTCTTGGCAACAGATTGGTTATTGGTAGGGGGGTGGGGTGGGTAGGTGATATAATGAGCAGTTAAGAAGGACACTTAGGTTGAGAGCATGGGAGACTGGGAGGATGGTGGTACCCTCAATAGTAATAGGGAAGTTTGGATGCAGGGAGGATTTAGGGGGAAAGATAATGTCTGCTGGACATCCAGGTTCAGATGTCTAAAAGCCAGTTGGCCCATTTCTTGAGTACACAACATAGTCTCCAGACCAACTCTTTTAATTCATTTGGATTGGCATAATTTTCAATTGATAGTCTCATTATAAAGCAATCAGATGTTCAAACCAAGATCCAAGAGATTTCTAGGACAGGGGAAAGATCCAGGCTATATTGTATTGCTACTTATAGGAAAACTTCTAAAAACCCTTTGAGAAAAATACAATATAACCTTTAAGAACCTAAATAAATAACTAGAAATTTGATACATTCCTGAAAACATGCATGACAATTTGTTTAATCACATTTGATTTGTTTTGCTCTCCATTTATAGGATAGATCTATTTCAATCTATTGAAATCATTGAACTATCAAGCAAAATATTTAAGTCCAATATAGGCATTCAAAGGGAAGTGATAAAGTAGCCACTGGGGAGATTCAAGTCATGTTAAATTGCTGTCTACAGGAGTACTTCTGAACACCTGGCAAGAAAAAACGATACAATATTTCAGAATATAGAAACTTGGTCAACAGATTTTTGGTATATTTCTTAGATGTAATGCATAGTCCATATACCAGCTAGCTTTCTCCCATTCATTTTTTATATATCTCACTTAACTGGCTAGCTCTGTTTCAACTTAAGGCAATGAAATCATTCAACCAGAGAGCATGGTAGTGATATCTAATACAGGTGTATGAGAACAGTGGAAAGTTCCAGTTCATGTTACATAGCTATTGTGAGAAATAACTCATTAGGACTCAGGAAGGATGAAGTCCAGTTTATTATGCAGTTGCAAAAGTGGGTGCCCTAACACACACACACACACACACACACACACACACACACACACACACACACACACACACACACACTCCCACACGCCAAAGCAAGTGTTCACAATTTATTTCTAATCCTGGCCTCAGAATCCCTCCTCTGTTTCCTCATTGGCTGAGTACTTCAGAGTGCACAGCTTTCCAGCATGCCTATTTTCACATGTCCTCCCTCCTTCTACATACATTGAATATTCAGAAAATGGTGTCTTAACCCCTCCTGGAGGTGGAGAAGTTAGTATTTGTGAGCCTATTAAGCATGTGCTCTCTAAGTAAAGCTTAACCTTTCTCCTACTTACTGACTTCTACCAGAAAAACAAGACTGGTTATATCAATTTTACTTAGTTACTTTCCTAGTGGTTGTTTCAATTTTATGGAAACAAACATTTTTATTATATCTCTCAGCTACCAAATGAATGATGCTTGGAAATTTTTTTGGGGAAACCCCAATATAATCTTTAACAACTTACAAATGTACCTAAAATCATGTATATTCCTTTAGTACAATACATAGCCTTTATTAGTACTGATTTCAAACCAAGGCAATGAAATATTCCAACTACAAAGTAAGATATATCCAATTCTGTTGCTCCAGGAAACCAATCCAGAAGCCAGTTTCAAACTCCAGTTCCATTTCAGATTGATGTCTATAGGAAGAATCCTCCAGTACACTCCAGAAAGCATAACACAATCTTGGGAACCATGAGAAATAACTAACAATCTAAATCATTTCTTGAGTGCAATACGTTATCCGTATAGCAAATCTTTTGAGAAAATTGGCTCAGTATTACTCTTAATGTATAGCCTACTTCTAGTTTAATCTAAAGAGGAGGCTCCCAAATTTATTTGGCCTACCGCCCACTTTTCAAAACAAAAAATTTTCTCGGCATTCCACCTTGGAATCTACTTTCTTTAACACTTTAATGGTTTTTTTTTGAAATTTGCATCATTTCAAAAAATACAAAATACATATTTTTAAAAAATGATGCATCTTAAGTTTAATAATTTATTGTAAATTTGTGCTTTTTTCCTGTATTGAAATTTTGATGATGCAATAGTGTGTCATGGAACGGTATAGTATGGTATTGTAAATAATTCATTATGTCCACATGTTCCTGCCCCCACAATTCATGAAATGCTCACCTGTCAACTTTTGCTTGTTAAGCATTTTGTGTGTTTGTTTGGAAAATAATGTAATCACCATAAGTTTAACTCTGTTACACAACAGATAAAACACGTACAAATGGTTTTTCAAAATTTTCTTGTTGTCTCTTCTTTCCTTATGATTCCACCACTGCCTTATTTTTATGCAACTCCCCTCAATTGCATTTGAGGCTGCCACTGCCCCCTTGGATAGTTCCAGTGCCCCAC